CCCGGGATTTGTTCTTCTGCAGAATGATCCTAGCTATTAATGTCTTATGCATAAAACATTTCACATTTTGAAAGGTTGCAGCTATTCTTTCAGAGAATTAGAAGGTATTTCATTTGCACATGAGAAAACCAAGGGCCCAAGAAGTGACGTCACACTGCTAATTCATGCTAGATCCCGCGTGGAAGCCCTGTCCTGCCAAGTACTCTTTTCACCGGTGGCACTGCTGTTGGGGTCACCTCTTGGGACCAGTGAATCGGTGACCACTGACTGGCAACCCGGAGTGTAGAGTGCTTCAGCCTCTGACATCAGATGTCCCTTACTGGGTTTCCCCCGCTTTTCTTGGGTGCAGTTTGAGAGGACCACTCAGGTCTGTATTCATCACCATTTGCCCTTGAGCCTTGGAAGCCTCTTGACATCCCAAAAGGAAGGAGAGAGGAGTGAGGAAACTGATTACCTATTCTCGTTTCCCCCTTTAATGTTCTCTTGGGAAGTTCTTGCCGTTTAACCTAAAATGAAAATCTGTCGCACCATGCAGTTTAGTGATAAAGGGAAAGAGCCCCAGCTGGGCCCTCCGTGTGCCGGCTCAACCCCCAGGATTTCGGAGCTCTCAGCAAGCAGGGAAGCCCTGGAGCCTCCCCTCCTTCCTCTTTCCCTGGCTCGTCACTGGGCAGGAGAGAAGTTAATTTAACTTGCCACTTAAGCACAGGCTGTGGGAGGCCCCCGAGTTCAGCTTGAGGAGAAAGGGGCTATTTTTGCCTCCTCTAGAGGAAGAAAACTCATTTTCCCAATGCACCCCACCCCCTCCTCCTCCTGTGCAGATGAGCTTAATTTTCTTTCCTTCCTAATGAAGATGGATCCAAGCCAAACTATATATTCTGGGGGGAGCCAGGCAGGGAAGCCGAGTGAGGGGGTGAGGGGGGCAGAAACAGAGCTTCTCTTCAGAGAGGAAGTAATTAATTTTAAGAGAGAGCTAAGATAGGGAAGCCCTTGGTAATATAATGTCAGACTCCAAATGCAAGTGACTGAAAACTGAATCAGAGCACAGAGAGTTTCTTTCATTCATTCATTTACTCATTCAACAAATGTTTATGGAGCACCTACTATGCACAGGCAGGGTCCTCAAAACAGGCCTCAGAAGAGAGCTCAGCACAGCACAACCACAGCAGGGCTCCATTAAATGGATCAGCGGCAGGAAGAGGGCATGATCTGAAAACTTAGGCCTCCTGTCACCAGGATGAATCATTTGCAAAAGTCCCACTAAATGGCTGAATATATTGATCTTTTGGATTTAGGATTAGCTGTTTAAACATCAGCAGCTGTTGACCCCAGTTATATCCCAACCAGCTTGACTCTTCATGGGTTAAATAATAATGTTGTCCGTTTGCTTTTCCATTCGCTGATGACATTGTTCCCTGACCAAGTTCTATCCTCCATCAAAATTAGATTAGCCCCTCCTTTTCAGTGTCTGTTGTGATATCACAGAATTACCATAGCAACAGACTATGATGTCAACACAATGCCTGGTCTTGCTAAAAACGAGCCGTATTGGTTTGAAAGGAACCTGTCATGTGAAAACAAAATGGAATAATATAGAAAACCAGAGGAACTGGAATTCGATATCAAAAAGAACATCTTGGCAGGGTAAGGTAACTGGGTGGGCCTGGGTGTCCTTTGCTAGAACCCTTTGCAAACCACCAAGGTGCTTTCATTGAGATGAGCATTGATTAGTGAGCCTGCTTGCCTGGAGACAGGGGTGGGAGGAGGTGACCTTCAAGAAGTCCTCGAAGACCAAGGATCCCAAGACAAGGAAGACATTAGGAAAGGGGGAGATTTGACCAGCTTTGGCTTCTGGGGAATTCAGGGGAATTAACATTAGTGCAAAACCTCCTTGCTCGTGAGTTGAGCTGACAGGCAACAGCTGGAATTTATCATCTTGCATCTGGGAAGATTTGCAGCAGTAAACACACAGTGACCCCTTCTCAAGCCCCATTTGCTGCCCTCTTCCTCACAAGCCTTGGGAGGAAGCTTTCCTTTCATTTCGCCAGAGCAGAGAAGCCCAGTTCCTTGCCATCAGCTCTGGCTCCCCAACATCCACGCCCATCCACACTCTGGATCCACAAGTCCCGTCCCTCCCAGCTGGACTACGGCTCCCAGAGGGCAGAAGAGCTGCTGGGTCTGAGGGCAGCTGGGCAGAGGCCAGTGGCTTCTGTCTGTACAGCAGGCTGGGTGGGCAGAGGAGAAGAGAAAGGAGACTTTCTCAATTAATCTCAGCCTCTCAGCAGCGGCAGCAGTAACAAGGAATGAACCTGGAGCTTCCCTTAACCCTGTACCCTCAGACTCTGAAGGGTGTCTGAGAAGCGAGCTGATTTTCAGCTCCAGAGCCTGTGTCTGGGCTGGGAGCTGGGAAGCAGGAGCACCGTCTCCCTGCAGGTCGAGCTGGCATGAGTTTCTGCCGTGCAGATGGGAATGCAGCCCCATGCTCCTCCGCCCGCCCAGCCACTCTGTGTCCTTAGCTCAGTGAGGTCGCACTACCTGGAGGTGGTTCACCTGCTCCGTGCACGCCCCAACTCTCCGTGGCTGCATTTTCTCCTTGGGAACCTGAATGAGGAGGATGCCGTCCCCTCCTCGCTTATCCAGTCTCCAGTCCTCTGACCGGTGGTAGTCCAGCCGGATACTAGGAAGCTGCAGGTCCGCTGGAGCACCTGGGTGACCCCTACCATCACACAGGGAGAGCCCCCTCCCTGTTCTCTAATGCCAGAGCCGGGAAGAGGGGCAACCAGCAGACAGCCTGCCACCACTTGCGCTGTTCCTCTGCCACGGCATTACGGGGTTGGACCCGAGGACTTACTTCTCAGAGGGATGATAGCAGCAGGGTGGCTGGCAGGTCCTCTGAGGCTGCCCAACTGGGGACTGAGCTGCCAAAAAGATGCTGAAGTTTCGGGCTGACCGACGAGCCAGGTAGGGATCTCGTCCACAGACCGTGAGCCTGGTGAACTCGGAGCCGGCGGCGGCGCTGGCACTCACCCTGTTCCCGTCTGGGGGCTTGGCGGTGAGGGGTCTGCTGGCGATGACCTGGGAGGAGAGCGCAGTTAGGTCAATGGTTGCTGCATTGCAGTGCCCGTGAAGGGGAAGCTATTTTGAAATTGGTAGCGTGGGGATGGAGAGAGCACGTCATCTGTAGGGGTTGCTGGGTAGGAGACTCTGGGGCAGGGAGAAATGTGCCGTACCCTGGGAGACTCCAGACAGCTGACAGCTGACTGCCTGCCTGCTTCTGTGTGTCTGTCTGTACCAGAGCCTGCAGGAAGCTCCCTGGAGCTACCATCGGGAACACACAGAGCATCAGGGGCCTGGAGGGGTAGAGGGTGGGAAGGAACAAGTGCCCCACGCCACTGGGTGAAAGCAGAGAAGTTGTCACCTCAAGGACCTTCACTGTCACCACTGCCTTTGCACTAGACTTCTAAAGGGGCAGAGCCAGGGACAAGGTTAACTGCAGGCAGGTACCTTTCCTTGCAAAGACCCCCTGTGATTAAGTTGAGAGCATCGTCTTTGGAACCTTGGATCCGCCGTTTGGGAAGTGGGGAGTGGATTCCCAGTGTTCTAGAGTCAGAAGCCAGGGGGACACTGGTCAGGTTTGGGGTCCTGGCTGCACAGCCAGACTTTCCCATTGGCCGTGGCCACTACCTGCTGTGCTGCTGTCTCCTGTGTGCCTTTGGCTTACATCTGAACATGACCAGTTTGGAAGCTGGAAAAAACACACTTTGATATTATCTTTAGCTTCAGCAGGCAGCGCAAGGGTGAGATGTGTCCTGGGCTAAAAGAGGTGCCAACAAGGTTATTTTCCTTCCCTGAAGCAGCTGAAGCGACTGAGCTCTCTTTCCCCACCGCTGACCTGCGTGGGGCTGAACAGAGCACTGGGTCTTTGCCATGAGGTCTGAAGTGGCCCCACCTTAGTCCCTATGCTTTCTCTTAGAGTCTGCTAGAGCCTGCGCTCTCTGGACTCTCACAGTATTTTTCGAGGGGTGGGAGAAGTGCTCCTTAAAGCTCCCTTAGCCCCCACAGGCTGGGTGCTCAAATGTCTGCTACGACCTTCCTGCCAGGTGGTCACTGCTAATGGAATACAACCCAGAGAGGCCACTGCCCCAGCCCCTCTTGAAGTCTGTCTGCTGTCTTCCTCCTTATGCCCCCCTGAGAGGCCACCGGGAAGCTGGCCTGACATCCAGCTAGCCAGCAGAGACACAGGCTGCCTCCATGTACCGTTCCCCATCTGCCTCGCCTGCACCCCGCCCCTGGTTCGTGCTTCCTGGCAGGCTGTCCTCATAGCACACCACCCCACTCCCAGCCACAGTGTCCCTTAATTAGATCTGACTGTTCAGCCAGCACTGACCTTGATGCCTGACAGCTCGCGATGTCTCTGTGACATCCAGGAGCCCTTAGATGGAGGACCCTGGGCTCAGAGCAGGAGCGAGTCCCGGCCCAAGCTCAAGAATGGAGTTTCTGAGTCTCCTGTTTCCTTTCAAGAAAGAGATGGAGCATAAAGCAGGAGAGAACTAGTCCAAGGTCACAGGAGAGTTCTTTCAGCAAATAATGAGGGAGCGTGTTTTATGCAGAACACTGGCAGGCAGCTTCCCTGCTTGGGAACCTGCCACGCATGAAATCTTGACTGTGTTGGACAGACAGTTCAAACACCGCGCCCCCCACGCATGCCTGAGATAGTTAAGTGTGGCTGGTGTCCAGCCTGGGGAGCTCCAGTAAGTGGCTGACAGTGACTAGTGATTGGTGACGAGGCTTCTTTTCTCTTCCCTCACCCCACCCCTCCCCACCCCAGCAGCAGCTTCTGCCACTCAAGCCTTGTTCTCCCTCTGGCCCCCTTTGGGGGTGCAGAGGTAGAGCTGCTTTCCTGGTCACCTGTCCCCGTCACTGCCCAGGGTCTGTTCTCCCTTTGGCTGGTGTCTCTGTCCTCCGCATTTTTATCACAGTTTCTCCCACTGTTGCCTCTACAGCCACAATGACAGACGGAACACATTTCGTCACCCAGTGACTGGCCAAGTCCCAGAGGAGAACAAGAAGTTCGACTTGAAAACGTAAGTTTTGCCTTCTATTCACTGTTTGGCCTTTTTATCTTGTGTCACCACCATCCCACGGCCACCTTGCCCTGGGATGGGGAGGACGATGGGGAGGGAAGGAAAAGAAGGGATTTGGGGTCCCTCAGTTCTGAGACTGGAAGCTTCTGGGACCCATCTCCTGACATCCCCATCCCTTTCCCTGGTGCACCTCACAGGTTGGACCGAAAGAGTCGAAGCCAGGTCTGAGGTTGGCATAGCACCCAGGGGCCTTGGCAGGAGGCAGAGAGAGAATCTGATATAACCTTGAGGGCGGAACATGAATTTGGCCTACGCCGGATTCTGCATCTCTGAATGAAAGGGAAAAAAAGGAAAGGATAATTAATTGATTCCTAGGCCACCAAGCCATTGTACCTTTAAGATTAGAAGGGAAGGAGTTCTGGAGTCTGAGAATCTAGATTTTTAAAATAAAAAAAAAAAAAAAAAGAAGAGAGAGAATATGTGGGATGACCAGCAGATAATCCCAGAAGAACTGAGGAGAAACTCTGAATGATCTCTTGATGGGTGGGGAAGTTCTTCCCCCATTGCTTCTTGGCTCTCACTAGTCTCTTTCTTTTTGTTCCATTTGAAATCAGATCGGCCTTGGACATGTCCAATAAAACAGGTGGGAAACGCCCTGCTACCACCAACAGTGACATATCCAACCACAACATGGTGTCCGAGGTCCCTCCAGAGCGGCCCAACATTCGGGTGAGTTCAGTCCCTCAAAGCAGGCAGGAGATGTCTTCAGCGCATGTTTATTGGGAATCTCAGGGATCCGAGGAAAGTCTCACCTACCCAGCTCATTCTGTACGCCAACGGACAGGTGAGGTGGCCCAGGGAGACAGTCAGTGGGAAGGGAAGAGGGCTCAGACCAGAATCCCGCAGAGGACCAACATCTAGACCTGGGATTCTCAGCCTCAGGCCCATTAGCCTCCGGGCTTGACAGTTCTCATTGGTGTGGGAGTGCCTTGTGCACTGAAGGATGTTGACCTGCATCTCTGGCCCCTGCCCCGTTGATGCCAGTAGGACCTCCCTCCAATTATGGGTGGTGGGAATCAGAGTGAGATGAAAGTAAGGGACCCCCAGGAAGAAGAAGTGTCTCAGGGAAGAACGTTGCAAAGGGGCCCTGCCAGGTCAGGGCTGCTGACTTGTGTCCTTGTTTGGTGACAGGGTGGTAACTAGAGGAGAGGGCGGTCTGAGAGGTGTGATGAGGGCAGAAGACAAGGCGGAGAGGGTTAAAGAGGGAGATGGGAGAGGAGAGGTAGACACGTGGAAGGGTAACAGTTCTAAGATGATGATAAATTCATACAATGGAGTATTCTCCAGAACTTAAAATGAACTTGCTCTGTGTGTACTAACAGGGATTCTTCTTGAAAACATGATTCTGCAAATTGCAGAATATGGAAAATATAACACTTATGTAAAATGCACAAATATGAAAAGCGGCACTACATATTTATAGGAACAGCTGCAGTCCAAGTATATAACCATGAACAGGAAGGCTCGTTTTGGGTCAGTGGTTACCTCCAGGGAAGAAAAAGGTAATGGGATTGGCCCGGTGCTTCCCAGAGAGAGTTAGCTCTGACAACACAAAGGGATGATTGCATATTGTTCTTACTTCCCTGAAATGCTTGGAATATTTCAAAAAGGTATTTTTAAAAAGAACTTTTTATTTTTACTTTTCGATGAGCATATATTCGTCGTGCATATGAATGAGGTTCCATGTGGTGGCTGAGCTCACACATGCAGCATGCCCTGATCCAATCAGGCTCATGAGCATTTCCCTGTCCTTACCATTTCTTTATGTTTGGAGGCTTTGTGCTCTTTCTTCCAGAGCTTCATAAAATATATAACAGGTGGTTGTGAACTATAGTCAGATGGAAGGAAAATGTGGAGTGGGGATTGGAAACCAGAGGGAAGGAGGCGAAGGGGATTTGTTGGTTAGGCAGAAGCCTGAGGGGAAGGATTAGTCCCCGTAGACAGGTTCAGAAGAGGATGGTTGGCAAGTCGTGTTTTCATGGTGTCGGGGTGCCTGCATGTTAGCCTGGGTTGGGGAAGTGCACATCTTCCTAAGATGCATAAAAATAAAGGTATGTGAAGCTGAGAGTGGGTGTCTAGGAAATTAAAGATGTCCCCACCTGACTGCCTCCACTTTTGCAGGAAGGAAGGAAGCAGGGTGCTTTGTAGGGAGGAGAAGCGCATGGGAATGTGTCAGGTCAGGTGCGTGAGAATATGAAGCACACGTTTGGGTAACAGGAATGGTGCTCAGCCAGGGACACACGGAACATGCTGCTGGGTAACTGAAGGATCACCTGAGGTTGAAGACTAAGAATCTGTGTGCCTGATCCACAGGCTGGTGTGGTTTTCCTTCAGCAGTGCTCAGAGCCCAGCTGTGAGGGCGAGGCAGGCAGAGTGTTGGATTGACCCCTGGCTGCTGGGAAGCTGGGCACAGGCACCGGGTGGCTAATGTGTTGAGAGGTGGCCCCAGGAATGTCTAGAAAGGCAAACTATAGGAAGCCACTGCTCTGGTAGCAGAGAGAAGAGGGAAGGATTTAGGGATTTGCATATCCTTAAGGAGGCATACAACTTCTTCAAATGACGTTTCTTGGCCCTTATCTGTGAATTTTCACTAGTAATGTCCAGAAAATAACTTTGTTTCCTACTTGTGGAGGTACTTTATAATAAAGCCCAATCTCTTCTTTCCTTCTGTCTCTGCAAGTATATTCTAAGTGTTTGTTATGGCTGGCACCTTGCTGGCTCTGGTGATATAGGAATGAACAAAACCAAAGTCCTTTTTGCAAAAAGCTCAGTCGCGTGGTAGAGGAGACAGAAAGCCAGCAGTTCCATTGCTGAGCAATGTGACAAGTTTTACACTCTACAGATGTCCAGAGTTGCTAACTGTTGTGGGGGTGGGTGGTTAGAGAGGTCTCATGGAGAGTCTATGCTGGATTTTAAAGAGTGGGCTGGGAATCGTGGGTGCTGAGGGAGGATGTCCTCCCTTTGTGAGGGAGCCCAGGTGAGTACAGGTTCAGGAGGAAGAGATAGCAGAGGTGGGGCTTGGGTGCCAGAGGGGCAGAAGCCCGGCTGTAGACCCGATCGGATCTCATGGATTCCCGCTTCTGTGCTGTGCTCGGGTATCTGAGCTCTCTCCTAAGCGATGAGGACTAGTAAGAAATTTGAAGCAAGAGAATCACATGATTCTATGTGTTTTAGAAAAAATCACCTCAATTCATTGCCCAGGATGGGATAGCAAGAAGAAATGAGGACCTGCAAGATGACAGCAGCAGAATTTCAGAGGGAAAAGAGATTTGAGGCTCTGTTAAGGAGACAGACTCAGGCTGAGGGGGTGTGGCTTGGGGATAGAGGGCATGCCTAGTCACACCACGCTCTGGGCTCCTTCCCCGGCACTGATAACACACAACATCAAAGCAGGCCTTTCAACCCGCATCAAGGTGGTAGGAAGGAGTAGAGGAAGCAGGAAAGCAGGGACTCCGAGTTCTGACGTGGGTGACTGGGTGGGTTGCAGCGCTGTCCACCGAATGAGGAATACAGAATAGCAGGTTTGGGTAGAAAGGATGAATCTGGCTTCACTCTTACTTAATCCTGGTCAGACAACGAGTTATAAAATGGACTGGTGCTAGGAGATACAGATCAGGGAACCCTGATCCTGTTGCTGGTACTTGAAGCAGTGGGTAGAGATGAGCTTGCACAAGCTCCAGTAAAGCTCCAGGGCTGGGGCGTGGCCAGGTGAAGAGTGCTTACCTAGCACAGGAAAGGCACGGAGCTCAACCCCAGCACCACCAAAACCAAAACCAAAACCAAACCCTCAAATAAAATAATAAAAGTTTGGTTGTGGCTCAGCAGCACTTGGAATAGAGGAAGGGGAGGTATTGAAAGAACTGAAAGATCCCAGGAAGGACAGAAAGTTAATGGGGCTTTGGAATGATCGAGGACCAAATGGCCCTAACCCAATAGCATTAAGAGAGCCATTTCCAAATGAGGTGGAGGAAGGTTGGGGATCTTGGGAGGAGAAGAAAGTGGACTCTTCCCAGTAGCCCAGCCCTGAAGAGAAAGGGAGAATGGATTCTGCCTTACAGTGGGCAGGGGTTGTTTTAGTTAGTTTTTTTTTTTTTTTTTGCTACTGTGACTGAAAGACCTGACCAGAACCATTTTAGAGGAGGAAAATTTTATTTGGAGGCTGGGCTCACAGCTTCAGAGGTCTCACTCCATTCCTCGGGGCTTGAGATGAGGCAGGACATCATGGTGGAAGAGTGTGGTGGAGGGAAGTTGCTCACGTGATGATCAGGAAGCCGAGAGAGACTCCACTTGCAAGATACAAAATATATACCCCAAAGGCACACCCCCAGTGCCCACCTCCTCCAGCCGCACCCTACCCACTTCAGCCACCACCCAGTAAATCCCATCAGGGGATTAATCCACTGATTGAGTTAGGGCTCTCGGAACCCAGTCATTTCTCCTCTAACTCTTCTTGCATTGTCTCACACTTGAGCTTTTAGGAGGGGACACCTCTCATCTAAACCATGATAGGGGATGAGGGCTGGAGGGGAGTTTGGGGGTGTGTGAGAGGATGAGAGAGAGGTGCCGTCAGATGGAGAGACTGGGGCTTGCTGGCCAGGCGAAGCAGCCAGCAGAGAAGGGCACGTTGAAGTCAGGCTTGAGAGGAGATGTCAACAGGGCAAAGTCTCAGAGGAGATAGCGGGCTACAAGGGTCAGCTGTGGAAGGGCAGGTGATACCTCTCCTGTTGGCACTGGAGGAAAAAAGACAGTGAAGAGGGCAGTAATTTTCTAGGAAAAGGGGTATGGAATTGAGGAAGTGCATATATGGTTGTGGAGGAGGGGCCAGGTCCAGTGTGGGGACGGCAGAGATGGGAGGTTGGGGGACTTGGGAGGACAGTGTGGGGCTCTGCCCAGCTGGGGCTGGGAACCCTGGGTCTGCAGTGACCTCATCTGCTCTGCAGTATGATTTTAATTTTTTTCTTCCTCTAGCAGCACCATAATCTGGCTGTGAGTACAGGGAGGGAGGATAATTTGATTAATTTGGAATATTGAGTTTCAGAGAAGATGAAGCAGAAAAATAATGGATGGGTTCTTTTGAGTCCAGCTTTGGAAGGACATAATGAAAACCAGGAAGCAGCAGATGAATCCAGACAAAAGAAAATGGGGATCTCAGGGGAACAGAAAAGCTGGGGGTAGTTAAGTAATGGGGGAAGAAGGCCAAAGGGTGGAATATAGTGACCAGCAAGTGGGAACTCTAGAATTGAAGGTGTTAATGGACGGTGGCTTGGGGTGCTGACAGTCTAAGGTGAGGTGTAGTCTGGGCATCAGTACCTGGAACAGAGGATGAGGAGTTTTGGAGTTGAGGAGATCAAGGGCATTGGATGGGTAAGGGGATGTCTCCTATCAGAATCCTTGGACTCAAGCCAGGCATAGTGGTGCACACTCGTAATCCTAGCTCCTGGGGAGGCTGAGGCAGGAGGATCACAAGTTCGAGGCCAGCCTAGGCAACTTAGCAAGACCCCCATCTCAAAATAAAAATTAAAAAGGGCTGGGGAGGAAGCACAGTGATTGAACACCCTTGGGTTCAATCCCAAGTACCAAAACAAAAATAAAAATAAATTAAAATAAAAACCCTTTATAGAGTCCAAAAGAAGGATCTAGAAGCTGATGGTGAAGGGTTAAGTCGTGGGAGGCCAGAAAGTGGGGCTTCAGGAAGACAGACTGTTGCCAGAATGTGGGAGAATGACAGTGTCCAAACGGTGGGGAGCTAGGAGAGCACCCCTCGGTCTCCCCAGCTCTGTGGGGTGCTGTGGTTGAGCAGGAGTTGACATGGGACACTGACTTAGAGTTGAGTGGATTCCAGAAAGCACTGCAAAGAGATGGGGAGTCAGGAGGGCAGGGGAAGAGGGTCAGGCCAGGAGTGAAAGGAGAAATCTTGTGGGTTTTTTTTTTCCTCCAAAGGAAAAAAAAAAACAAAGCTATGAGACAGCTAGGATTCCTCTTTTGAGACCCATTTTAGAGATTGAAAAAACAAGCTAAAGAGGGTCCTGTCCTGGAGTTAGTACCAGATCCCAGAGTCTCATCTGGGTCTCAGCAGGAGGGCACCCAGGAGAGAGCTGGAGAGAGCTTGCTCCTCAGGGTGCAGCGCCCTCGCAGATGGAGCAGAGGGAAGGAGAGGAAGCAGCTCCCGCGTCTTTCCCTGTTTCCCCAGGCGACGCGTACATCCCGCAAAGCCATCGCCTTTGGCAAGCGTTCACACTCCATGAAGCGGAACCCCACCGCGCCGGTCACCAAGGCCGGCTGGCTCTTCAAGCAGGTGAGGCGCCCTGCGCTCTGCCCACCATAGCCACCTCTGACAGCGCCGTGACCCCTCTGTGCCGATGGCAGTCTGTGTATTTTTTTGAAAGTCCCTCTTGCCGTGGTTGGGGGGGACAGGTGTCCACTGACTGGCCTGGCCTCATCCCTGCCTTTCCTTCCGCTCACTCATTCTGGCTCATTTCTTGTCCTTTTTATCTTCCCCCTGACGAGGTGGCACGGAGCCTCAGAATGACAGAGCTGGAATGTCACAGGCAGTAATCTAATGTCCCTTCCCTGCCTCTGTGACCTCCGGGGCGTTGCTGCCACACATTGTATCTGAGCCTGGAGTCCTTGTCAGCTGTGCCATGCCCTGTCCCCTCGGTGCCCAGCCCACAGCCCCTCACATCGGTCTCTCCCCGTGTCCCGCAGGCCAGCTCCGGGGTGAAGCAGTGGAACAAGCGCTGGTTTGTCCTGGTGGACCGTTGCCTCTTCTACTACAAAGGTGAGCCTGCCCCTGGGGTGTGATTGGCAGAGCCTTGGCAGGACAAGTCTCCCCGCTTGAGTGCTTGGCGCCAGAGGGGTGTGACATGGGATGGTGGCTTGTGTCAGCTTACCCATGTTCATTCAATTCAGCAACATTTCTGGGCTTCCTGCTAGGTTTCAGGCAGTGTTCTGGGTCCTGGTTGGTGACCCAGTGGGTGACAAGGTAGTTATATGGATGGTGAAGTCTGGAAGGGGTAGGAGAGAGGAAGAAGATGAAGAGGTTCCTAGTGAGCACCTGTAGGTCACCATGTCCTGGAGGCTTGCGCCTTGGTCTTCTTTGTGTTCCACTGGAATGGACAGTCTAGTCAGTGAGGGCAGGAATTTCTGCCAATTCTGTTCACTCCTGAGTCCACAGCATCTAAACACTGCACTGCACACAGTTGGTATTTAGTGGATAGTGCTTAAATGAGTGGCCCCCAGCTTCTACCCTCTGTCACCCCTGCATTCACCCCTAGCCTGCTCCCTGATCAAAAATAAATAAATAAACAAAAGAAAGGAGAGCAAAGCTCTGGTAACTTTGATGCAACCTTCTCTAGGAAGTTATTTAAAAATATTTTCAGAGCCACATCTGTCACCATGGGCACAGAGGGCACGAGGGCTGGCTGATGACAGCCATGGTGGCATCATCAGGCTGCTGTGGTGGCAGGAGGAAGCAGGCCCAGGGGATAAGACAGTGATGTGAGCTCGGAGGAGCTGTTCTCGGTGCTTGCCCAGCTCCTTGCCTCAGGATGGCTGAGCCCTGGTTTCCCAAGGCCTCCTGGGAGCAATCTGATGAATCATTAACCTGGGCAAACAAAGGTTGTACCCAGTGACCCTTTCGCCCCAGGGTACCACTGTCCCTGCGCACTGAGCTAAAGCCAATTGAACTCTTAAGGAAGAGGGATCAGAGCTGCTGCGGATTCTGGGGCCAGGTGCAGAGAAAGGCCCAAACTTGCAGAAGACTGTGCCCAGGCCTGGCCCCTGGGTGCTGAGCCCTGGAGCAGAGAAGGACTGGCCTGGGAGGAGAGCCAGTGTCTGTGCAGGGGAGGGGCTAATGTCCTGAAAAGGGGTCACAGCCACAGAGGGGTGGTCTCAGGACAGCCCTGGGCTTAGCCTGTTTTCCGTAGCTGGGTCATTCACCGTGCTGCTTCAACTCACGGCAGAAGGTAGAGAGGGGACACGCAGATGACACAAAACAGGAGGGCCGTCTGGCCTCCAAGGCCCCGCTGGGGAGGGGGAGCTCTGTGTGGGAAGAGCACCCCTCCCTCTGTGACCCCACCACCTCTCAGCACCTTTGCATTAGAATCAGATTCCCACGTGAGCTAAAGCTCATCCAAACCAGAGCGGCCCCTAAACGCTGGCCTGCCCTCTGCCAGGCAGGGCCCGTCTCCTCGGCAGGTGGGCAGCCTCAGTTTTCCCAAAGACAGCTTTGGAGTCCAGCCTCAAGTCCTTCCTGCTCCTTCATTTGACCCCTCCCTCTGGCACCAGGCTGTGGGCTAAACAGAATCGCAGACCAAGTATCTTGTGGGTCTGTGGATGTGACAAGAGGGGAGGTAGCGCTCCGGGAGTGGTAGCCCTGCAGAGGTTTCTTCTGGACTCTGACTGAAGGTTTTTCAGAGTCCCCAACCCCAGGAATACACAGCAGACCCAGCAGAGGAGAGGGTCTTGCCATGGCCGCCTAGTTGTCCCCCACCGTCCCACAGAGGGCTCCTGCCCTTTCTGGCCTCCTGCTGACAGCTGGGCGCCCGACTAGCTAATCCATCAGGCTCCTCCAGATCCGGGATGAATTATGTAACAGCCCCATTGTTAGTGATTGTTAGCCTGATCCTGAGAGGACAGGGCCCGGGGCTGCATGCAGGAGCTATAAAGGGGGTCTGCAGCAGGAAAAAGGCAAAAAAGCAGGCTGCTGGGGGCTGGGAGCACCCTGGAGAGAGCTACCCAGAGCTCCGGAGAGCAGGAGGAGAAGTGGTGCACACGACCCTGCTCCGTCCTGTCCCCTGCTATATGCACTGCTACTGGAATTGTCCTGTTCAGAGAGGCAAGATAGATGGGCTAGGGGTCGGCAAGGCCAGCTTTGGCATCAGGCTTCTTGGGTGGAAAGACCAAGCCCACTACTTACTTTTTAAGACAAAAGTACTACTTACTTTTTAGACAAACTCCTTCACCTCTGGGTCTCAGCTTCCCATCAAATGGGCGGGGGGTGATATGGGTACCTCTTTGCGGGGTAGTTTGAAGGGTTCAATCCAGTAAGGCATTTAACTTGGAATGCTCCTAATAATGAGGCGAACACTCCAGAAACATCAGCTCTTCTTTAATAACTGGTTTGGGCATTAGAATGTGAACGCCCCGAGGATGGGCACTACTTTTCTCTTATTCTCTTCTGTAGTCCAGTGTCTGAACCGCGTCCACCAGCCCCTCTGTCTCCCCCACCCCCAGCTCCAGGGAGTGCCTCTTGGAGTGTGTGTGGTGGCCCCCGAGTGTCTGGCAAGTAGTAGGTGGGCATCAGGTGTTCACAGAGCAGGGCCAGCGTGCTCCTGGCTCCCCCTGCCCAGGTGAGCACACACCCCCTTGTGCCTCTGTTTCTCTGGCAGATGAAAAGGAGGAGAGCATCCTGGGCAGCATCCCCCTGTTGAGCTTCCGGGTTGCAGCAGTGCAGCCCTCGGACAACATCAGCCGGAAGCACACCTTTAAGGTCGGTTGGCTTTCCTCTCCCAGGTCTGGGGGAGGGAGGCCTGTTCTTCTAGAGCATATGGAGATAGAGAAGGGTCAAGGGCCTCTCCCTGAGGAATCCAGGTGGTAATGGAGGAAGAAGGGAGCAGGTTACTGGGAGGCCAAGGTGAGGCTGTGCTGGGACACCCCTCTTCTTCACAGGGGTCACGTGGGTAATTCCCCTTAGGTGGACCCATAGGGCTGTGCCTCAGTGGTACCACAGTTTTTACTGGGAGAGAAAGTTATGTCCTGGGCCCTTGGACTTTCTGCTCCTGGGAAATCCCTCTGGACAGAGGCAGAGCTGTGCCTGGTGGAATTCTTGAGATCTTTTCTGGAAAGCCTCCCGCTCCACCTTGGGTCCAGGGAAGGGGATCCCTCCTCCAGCCAAATTCACTGAAATTGCAATCTTTAGAGGAAATGAGGAGTTGAGTTCTGCTCCAATCCAGAACTGCAGACTTCTGTAGACAACAGTTTTGAGAGAACAAGGGCCAGGAAAATGGGACTCGGCTGCCTCTCCGTGTCACTCCCTCAGAACCCCCCAGGGATCCACCCATCAAAGACACTGCTCGCTCACAGCTGGCTCTTCCTAGGCCAGTGTTTTTCCACATTTAAAAATTCATGACCCATTAAAAACTATAAAAATCTCATGCCCTTTTTGTACTTTGTGATAAAAAAAAAACCCTTAGGTTTCTTTTCATTTTCCAAATGTAAAATTATAAGCTAAACTGTGCATTTCCATAGGACAAAGCCCTCTGTCCCCCAGTAGAGAACTGCCATCTCAAACCCTGAAAACCCAAAACTGAGGTGTTAGATGATAGGACCTATGGGTCTCACCAGGCCACTGTCTGAGCTCCTAGGGCCCTGTCTGTCCTGTGGATTTTGGTCACTTGGTGATAGGCTAGAGGTGGGCAGCACGTGTAGGTTCTGCCCTGAGGAACAAGTAGGGACTTATTTGGAACATAATTAGTTTCCAGCCTCCCAGGGTCCTGGGTGCCAGAGGTATGGGCGGAATAAACAATTAATGAAACTGTGACTCTAGAGAGCCGGGTCCTAGCTGGGGAAATAGAAGTAGGCTGTCTAACCAACAATACACAGCCCTGGCTCGCTAGCGCGCTCTCTCTCTCTCTCTCTCTCACACACACACACACACACACACACACAAACCCATGCACCATCAGCCAGCCTGCCCACCTGCAGGCATCAGATAACACCCCAGAATGGCTAGCACGAACCCCAACCACAAAGCCCCAAGATCACGCCTGGGCCCACCAGCCCCTTGCCCAGTCCACCTTCCCTAGGAGTGTACTGCCTCTTTAAGACCTGGCTCTGAGGGCTGTGCTTAGTGGCCCACAAAGGGTTCCAATTGTGGCTATTCAGTGGCCCTTCCCCAGGGAAGGGAGGGGAGCCGAGACAGACAGGAGGCTTATCCTGCTGTGGCCACCCAGCCAAACTCTTGGATGGCAAATAATGAGAAGCCAGGAACTGCGCCTGCCCCGGCTGCCACTGAATGCTTTACCTCTTCCTCACCCGGCCCCTCGGCCCCTCGGAGGGTTTCGCCTGCTGGGACACCTCCCTCACTTCTCTGGCCCCTTTCATAGTCCCAGCCCAGGCCCCTCCCCACTCCCTATCAATAGCCCCATCCTTTCCCAGGCCCTCTGCCTTCCCCTGCCTCCAGCACTTGCTCCTGGGCCTGTGTTTGCTCCCTGTCTCCTGTGGCATGTTTGGTTGCCAATATGACTGTGAGCTCCAGTGCAAGAGCAAGCCCCTGCCTTCCTTGTGACTGGTGCCCTGCACGAGCTGAACTCACAGGCCGCTCACTAGGTGCTTGCACTCCCACCCGCCCCAGGACACACCACCAGTCCTGTGTCCCCTCTCCTCTACAGCCACCCGTGTTCTCCACCCAGAGGGCTCGCTTGGTCCTCAGCTCTCAACTCCTGTGCAGTTTCAAGTCCCAGAGGCCTCCTTCCAGCTCCACAGGCTGTCCGTCGGCCTCTCCTGCCCTCTCTACACTGGGCTGTCTGCTAGAGGGTAGGGGATGCAGAGGAAGGAGCCCCATCCACGCCCCTTGCTAGGCAATGGCTCCTATTAGAAAGAATTCCAGGGCTGAGCCTGGCACGGTGGCTCACACCTATAATGCCAGTGGCTCAGGAAGCTGGGGCAGGAGGATCACAAGTTCAAAGCCAACCTCAAATACTTAGCGAGGACCTCAGCAACTTAGCAAGACCCTGTCTCTAAAAAAAACAAAACAAAACAGGGATGGAGATGTGACTCAGTGGTTAAGCACCCTGGGTCGAATCCCTGGTTACCCCCTTCAATAAAGAGTTCCCATGTTAGGGAGAGGTAGAGGGGGGTGGGACCAGCTACAGTCAAGAAAGCCTGGGGAAGCTTGGTCCAAAAGGTATCACACGAGTTGGGCTTGATGCTGCTGCTCAGCAGAGCCCAGAGGCTCAGTCAGTGGTTCCTATCTCCTCCCCTAAACCCCAGCAACCCAGGAAGGAGCATCCAAAGAGTCAGGCTGCCAGGAGGCTCACCTCTGAGATTCAGTCACAATTGGACACCCCCCCCCCAATTAAGTAAGATAGACTGCTCCCTGCTTTTTGGAGAGATTGAGGGTCACCCAGCAAGTATATTAAGGTCCCTGAAAGTTCTAGTCCTGTGGCCCCTCTCTTTGTGGCCTTGAGTTTCACCAGGCAGACCCTTCCCCATGAGGTTGACCTGAGCAGGACAGCAGCTGGTCTGCCTTGGCAGGGCTGGTGAGGTGCAGAGCGGGGTCAGCCCCAGGGTTCCTGGCTCCCCATTCCAAACCCAGCCTGATTCCCAGAGTGCACACTCTCCACGCCCTGCCCCTTGGTGACCTGAAGCGGACACTGCTGGGTGCTGTCCTTCCCAGTAGTGACACTGAGTAAAAAGGGACAGTCTGACTCTGCCCCCCCCCCGCCCCCGCCCTGCTCCTCACCGTCTCTTGCCTCCTCGTCTGTCTCTCCCTCTGGTGTTGGTTGACCTGCTCTCTGCTTCTCCTTCTGATGCCTGAGGACCCCTTCTCGACAGGAGCTCTCTTCTGGGTTCCCGCCCACTGTGCCTGCTCACAGCCACCAACTAGGTAGTGTGCTCCTTCTGTATGCCAGAGCCTGCCCTTGCATGCCTGTGGATAGGGGCCTGGCTGTCTCCCCTTGAGGAAGAGGCAGGGCCAGCTTCTCCCTAGGAAGCTGGGGCTGAAATTAGCATGTGCTCAGGGGCCCACCTCCCCCAGCTCTTGGGTAATTGCCTTTCAACTCCCCCAGCCCTTGGGTAATTGGAGGGCAGTGGGTGTGGTGATCATCCCTCCTGCTGACAAATCACCTCAGGTGGGACAGGTAGGCTTACCTGCCTACGGGGCTGCCTGGTAGCACTTGGAGACCTGGCCCAGGCAGATACTGGTTGCCAGCTGGAGCACGTGGGCCAGCCATGGGCCAGCGTCCTCACCTGTCTCCTGAGCTGTACCTGGGGGAGGAGCCGCAGGCCCAGGAATAGCTGACTGACTGTCTCTCCTGGGGGTGTTGGTGTCCTCTCCCTACAGGTGACTGTGTGCTGGGTGGATGAGGCCGGGGCCAGTTCCACGCACTGCCTCTCCCCACAGGCCGAGCATGCTGGCGTCCGCACCTACTTCTTCAGTGCCGAGAGCCCCGAGGAGCAGGAGGCCTGGATCCAGGCCATGGGGGAGGCTGCCCGGGTACAGATCCCTCCAGCCCAGAAGTCGGCGCCCCAACCTGTGCGCCACAGGTGAGTGCCAGGGTACCTGGCGTGGGAGTGAGGAAGGGGGAGAAGCAGCAGAAAAGACGTGCCTGGCCCTGTGCCCGGCCCTGTGCCGCTGTGGAGCCCAGCACACCAGTTGGGCCCCCGGAGGATGTGTGAGCCATCTCCTGGTGTCCATGCAGATCTGGCTAAATGATTACAGAACCCCAAATCCTTCCCTGGTCCCACTTCTCCTCTTCTCTCTAAGCTGGGGAAAGCCACATTGAAGCCAGGTTCCATCATGACCTGCCCAGAAGCCAAAGGTGAGGGTATTTGCTTCTTTTTCTTGGCTGTGGATTAAACACGCAGCCTTTGGAGGAAGACAGATCACAGCTCGGCCGCCTGGTCACAGCGTGACCTTGGTGTAAGTGACTTGACCTCTGAGAATTTGAGTTTCCTCCCCTGAAAACTAGCAGTTATAATCCCCCCACCTGGGGTGGTTGTGAAGACGACATGGTGTGTGTAAAATGCTTGACATGTAGCAGACGCTCAGCAGATGGCTGCTCTCAGCTGCCGTCATCACCCGCGGTCTTGGTGCCTGTCTCTTCTGTAACTGGGTGTGGAGCCTTGAGTTAGGTGTTAATAGGGATCCAGAGAAGGGGGCTCACAGTGTTGACTCCAAGTCTAGTCGTGTGTCTTAGAAATGTTTACCCAGCGACGTTTCAGCAAGGCGGCTTGACTCTGCCAGCCTTGGAGGAAATTCTTGCACGTTTCCATCTCTATCTTTCCAGAAGTTCATTTATTCATTTCACAAATATTTACTGTGAACATAAATGTGATAGGCCCTATGCCAGGTGTGCTAGGAGCACCCGGGAGGAAAGTCTGCCATGTTCCTGCCCTGGTGGAGCCTACCTTCTCATGGGAAGTCAGTCCTGGGAGGAGCGTGATTTGGAGAAGGGAACGAGCAAGTCTGCATGCCCATGAACTTGGAGGCAGCAGCTCTTATCTCTGCCATGTTTTATCTCATAGCAGTCCTCTGAGGAGAGAGGGGGTTATGCTCGTCCTGCCAGTGGGAAGCCTAAGACTCATGGAAGTCAAGTAGCTTTCTGGAGAGGAGAGAGTGGACCTGTAGCAAGCCTCTATGGCCAAGGTCACAGTTACTGCTGTGAAACTTCAGTATCGGGCCCATGAAATTTGAGGGGCTGGATCAGGGACAGGTGACAGAGGAGACCAAGACTGTTGGGTTGGTCTTGGCCATAGCTGAAGGCTGGGCTCAACACAGGCAGCAGATGGGAGTGGACAGTGACCTGGGCAGAGGGCAGGACCAGCCTGGCATGCTTTGGCAGGAATTGTTATACATTGCCTAATAGTTGCCCGGGCTGGAGCAAGAAGATGAGGCCTGGGGTTTAGGAAGCAGATCGGAGGTCACTGCACTGGCTCCCTTGCTGCCTTCCTGCCTGTTCCTCTCCACACCTTTTCTCCCCCACCAGTCATGACTGGAGTCTCTTACTGCATCATCTCCCTTGGCCTCCTGCAGCCACGAGAAGCCAGACTCAGAGAACATCCCTCCCAGCAAACACCACCAGCAGCCAGCCCACAACAGCCTGCCCAGGCCTGAGCCTGAGGCCAAGACTCGAGGGGAGGGCGACGGCCGAGGCTGTGAGAAGCCAGAGCGGAGGCCCGAGAGGCCCGAAGTCAAGAAAGAGTCTCTGGTGAAAGCCAATGGCCTCCCAGCTGGACCTGAGCCGTCCTCAGAGCCCGGCAGCCCTTACCCCGAGGGCCCGAGGGTGCCAGGGGGTGGGGAGCAGCCTGCCCAGCCCAATGGCTGGCAGTACAGCTCCCCCAGCCGGCCAGGGAGCACAGCTTTCCCACCTCAGGACGGGGAGAGTGGGGGGCACCGGCGGAGCTTTCCTCCACGCACCAACCCTGACAAAATCGCCCAGCGCAAGAGCTCCATGAATCAGCTTCAGCAGTGGGTGAACCTGCGCCGGGGTGTGCAGCCCCCCGAAGACCTTCGGAGGTGAGGCTCTGCAGGGCCGGGGCGGGCTGGCGAGGTGGTACGTGGTGGTATGGCTGGGTAGACACCCGCTTCTGGAAGCCAGGCTAACCTGGGATGCTAAGACCAGGGTCTGCTTCCCAGCTCAACCACCTCCTCTCCTGTGCCACCGGGATTGCCATCCCTCGTTCCTGCTTTCTCTGTCAGCTTCCTGCAGGAAGAAGGACAGAGCACCCCAGGGCTGCTTCACATGGTACTGGGTGGCCCAAGAGTCAGGGAGGCCCAGGCAGGGGACTTGAAGTGTTCTGGTCAGACACCCGTCCCTGCTGTGGATCCTACATCTTCAACCCCAGTGCAACCCCAGTCTAGCCACCAAACCAACTCACTGACTCAAATAGCTGTGTTTGAAAGTTCATTATAGGAAGTTTACTTTTTTGAAAGAAAAAAAAAAAAAGATGCCAATGATCCTAAGACCATCCTCAGTGACCAAAGACGGGCTTTCAGATATTTGGGAACATCAATTGGAACTCAGTGTTCGTCAAAGCAAGTGAGCTGGCTAACTTCTTCCCTGGGGATAGGGACAACTCCAGGGACTGCAGGTGGTGGCCTCCGAGGGCTTCTGGGCCCCTGAGAAACAGCGCCCTCTAGCTGTGAGCTGCAGCTCACTGCTGGTGGTCCTGCACCTGGTCCGCCCACTCCCGGGAACCTGCTGGCTCTGTGTGGATGGGATCTAACAGGAAGCTGCCCTTTCCTCCCGGCTCTGCTCCCTCCTTCAGTGCCTGGTACCACCCGGGTTCTCTTCTCCCGCCTCCCTTGGGAAGGATCGGATAAATTGGTTCGCACAGACGGGGATGGCGAAGAAGGGGCATTTCATTTTAAAGAGACGTAAAAACAGAAGCTCTGAAGGCTGCAGTCTGCAGCCCCCACGAGCTGGTTGAGAAAGCGCTTTCCCTCGCCTCAGGAGTAAATCCCAGTGTCTGCCTCAGCACTGACCTCTTCTTTGTGTCCATAAGGCCAGGGCACCTCTCCATGGGCACCTTTCACCTGTCCAGGCAGCTGCTCGGGGCTGGAGGACACAGACGTGGGGCTGGAAGTGAACGGGGCGGAGACCTGCCTATTTTGTCTGCTTTCCTTACAGTGTCCTCTGTGTCCTAGTCCCTCTAGGTTCTACCCTGTGTCTCGCCGAGTCCCTGAATATTATGGCCCCTACTCGTCCCAGTACCCAGACGATTACCAGTACTACCCGCCCGGGGTGCGGCCCGACAGCATCTGCTCCATGCCCGCCTACGATCGGATCAGCCCACCCTGGGCCCTGGAGGACAAGCGCCATTCCTTCCGCAATGGGGGTGGACCACCCGCCTACCAGCTGCGCGAATGGAAGGAGCCGGCTGGCTATGGCAGACAGGATGGCACCGTCTGGGTCCCCAGCCCTTCTCGACAGCCAGTCTATTACGACGAGCTGGATGCCACCTCCGGCTCCCTGCGCCGACTGTCCTTGCAACCCCGTTCCCACTCCGTGCCCCGCTCGCCCAGCCAGGGCTCCTACAGCCGCGCCCGCATTTATTCCCCTGTCCGCTCGCCCAGTGCCCGCTTTGAGCGGCTGCCACCTCGCAGCGAGGACATCTATGCCGACCCTGCCGCCTATGTGATGAGACGATCCATCAGCTCCCCCAAGGTGAGCCCCGGCCTGCCCCTCTCTCCTCTGTCCTAAGACCATCTTCTGAGAAGAGCTAGACGTGGACCCCTGGGCTGTGTTACAGGACCAGGCACCGGCCTGGGGAGATGCTGGCCTATGGTTCTGTCCCTAGGAGTGCCGCCTTGGGGGATTGCTTTGCTCCCTAAATGGAAACAGTACTCTCTATGCCGGTCGGTCCCCAGGTTGTCCCAGGAATCGTTCTGTGTAAGAGGGCAGAGTGCGTCTTTTCTACTCTTGAGGACTTGGACAGATCATCGCCAGGGGAGCTGTTGTCCTTTTTAGTTTGATGCAGACATCCCTAACCTTGAATTTCAGTTGGTGGGGAAGTCCATGTCCAACCAGACTCTCTCACCTCTACAATCCCCTTTCTCTTCCAGTATGATTACCTGGGAGACAGGCGGCCAGTCCCTGCAGGACTGTTCCCCTACAACTACCCACCATCCCCCACGGTCCACGATAAGATGGTACGTCCTCTTCTCCCCTCCACTCCACCTCTGGACTCCCCTGCCTCCACCCAAGGTGGAGTCAAACTGGGGCAGGCGCCAGGGGTGCTGTGTGCCTAGTGCCTGGCCTATGTGTTTTTAGCGCCTCTGGATGCCTCCTCCCTCCTGGCTAGGACTCTAGCTCCAACAGGGTTTAGTGCCAGTTACCCTTTCTCTGTGACACAGGGCAGAGGAGTAGGACAAGATCAGAGAGCATGTACTATCCGGATCCCCTAGAGCCCAGCGCAGCCCTCTTCTCCAGCATGCAGAGGAGGCCAGGGCAGGGGGCTCGTATTATGAGCTGGGACAGAAGGTCAGGCTAGGCCTCCTAGCAACAGGCAAGAGCATCTAGACTTTTTCTCCCTACATGTATTTGCTTCAAGTTTGCTTTTTGCCTGAAATGCCACCTATGGGAAAGAGTCAAAAGGTGACAGAGGAAGAAAAAAAAATGTTCCATATTGTGCCTACTTCCTTTTCTCTCCTTTTTTCTACTTGCATAGAAAAATGTGTTCCTTTGAGAATTTCTGCCTCCACCTGGAGGACTATATGCAGTTGATCTACTTGGGCGGGTTGGGGAGAACCCCAGGGTCCAATAGGCATGACCTCCTGTACCAGGAGGCCGGGTGGTGGAGCTTGGCCTTTCTTACTCCACTATGCAAACTCTAGAGCCTTGACCCACTGCAGGCATCCCCCTCCAGAAACAACCAGTTTTTCCAGAAAACCCAGAAGCTGTTGCTAAGAAGTGCTGATTAGGTGGCTTTAGTGGTGCTTCACTGTCCCAGGGAAGGCAAGACAGACCCAGGAGAGATGGTGGAGCCTGGGCCAGGAGCGTGTCCCTCCTGTGCCCGCCTGCAACCTCAGCTCCTCCCCAGAACTCCTCCAGGGCCAAGAGAGAGAGGATTTCCCTTGTCCTTGCCCAGCTAACTCTTAACAGCTTTGCTTCTTTTTTTATCGTTTTCTTTCGTGTGTTCCTGTTTGTTTGTGTTGCTGACTGGCCCTTTGGCCTCGGGCTCCGGGTAGGATGAACTTTTAGACCTTCAGTTGCAAAGAAACCTAGAGTATTTGGACCAGCAGGTAGGCAGAGCTGGTGCCCCTCACCATTCCACTGTCCTCTTGTCCTGTCTCCCCGCTCCTCCCCCCTCCTCACCCTCCTGCCATTTGACAACCTTTGTTGGTGCAACCAGGACACAACAAAGTGGCTTATATTTTAGTTTATTCCTTCACACCCCTCCTCCTCAAAGCCCCATAGGACACCTGGGGGTTTCTGGTGGAAAGAAGCATAATAATAAATGGGCACATGAATAATTAATGCTACCTCATAGTTCTCCAATCAGCCCAGATGGAACTGCCTCCCAGGAGGCAGGTTGGGAATTTGCATTTCTGCTGGAGAGAAGAGGGAGTCACAGAGATAGGATGCGGCTCTGGGTATGGGCCTGAGATGCTAATAATTTAAACCGAGGCCTATAGACCTGCCTTAGAATAACTTAGAAAATCATATCCATTCAGTACATCTGCATTTTTTTTTGGCATTGCTCTTTTGCATACACAGCCCACAGTTGTGAGAATTCAGGCTGTAGACACTGAGGCAATATAATCAACTCAGTTTGACAAGTGAGCAAGCTGAACAGCTAATAAGTGTCCCCACGAGACCCAGGCAGTTGACTGCCTGGGCTCCCAGCTCCTGGCTCTCACCCTTGGCTGCATTGCCCATTGAGGCCAAGAGGGCTGATGTTCCCTCAGGGCAAGTAGACTCCAGGTGAACACGCTGGCATTTCTGTGAGCACATCCTCTATGTTCAGATCTGTGCTACCCACCACGGGAACTGCACACCATTGTCCTGTGGAGGCAACCTGGGGTGGAATGATAACAGGGATAATAATGATGGCAGCAGTCACCATAATGGAAGGTCTCCTCCGTGTCTTACTGTTCTAAGCAAAATAGATCCCAACCCATTTACTTTTTATGATAATCCTACAAGATGAGTACTGTTATTTATCCCCATTTTGCAGCCAGGGCGATGAGGCACAGAGAGGTTAAATAATGTGCCAAAGACACACATCAGAGCTTGAATATGGCTCTGAGGTTTTAACCCAGTTTATAGCTGAGGGTAACATCTAACTTAAAAAAAAAAAAAGCTAGAGACATATCTCATCAGAAGAATTTTAAGCTCTTCGAGTTGCAGAAAGAACAATAAACTTGAAATCAGAGCTGTATGTTCTTCTAGTCACAAGCCCTGTCACCCACCATCTCACAGGGCCTCCACGTCATGATGTGGTGATCTTCTATCCTAGAAGAGCTTTTCACTGGGAAGCACTGATAGCCATAATTTGGTCAGCAGGACCTGATCCTGGCCCCCAAGGACCTTGAGTTCTTGTTCGATAAGCGGTATGCAGTGCTTGCACCGTGAGCATTCCTGTCCATGTGGGAACTGGTCTCACGTTGTCCCTAAGAGCAGGGCTGGGAAGCATGGAATCCTCCCAGTGGAAAGTGTCCGTCTGGTTGGCTCCCTAGCCCATCCACAGGCCTGGCTGTCCACACACTCAGTGCAGGATCAGGGTCCCCTCTTGGAGGCTTTAGCCCTTGAAAAGAGGGTCTGGACTATTGGGCTATAAATAACCTTCGAAGAGGACCCCTTCCTGGATGGAGGGTAATATTCCCGAGAGGCATCTTGTGGGATAAGGAGAGTCCACATGTAACCAAATGCTGCCACTCTAGTCCCAGGTCTGCCATTTACAAGCCTTTTTCTTTAAACCTTAGAAATGTCACTTAGTCTCTCTGGGTTCTTATTCTCTTAATCATTAAATGCTGCTATTATTTCATGTTCTACCAAAATGCAGCACTAACTCTGCATTGGGCACAGGGTCTGTTGCTTTCTCATAAAATCTCTCCAACATTGTACACAGAGTTAGCCCATGGGATCCTCCTAGAGGAGAGGCCCTCGTGAGCTCAAAGATTCCCAAAGCCACAGCACCAGGGGGAGCAGGCCAGCAGGAGGACCTTCTGCTTCTTGCCACCAATGCTTTAGACCCACTTTTGGGGAAGGACTGAGGTCAGTGAGTGTCCAGGAAGAGCCTTGGCCTCCCTTGGCCTCTGAGCCTGACACATTGGTAGATCCACTGTGTGCACACCTCTGGGTCTTCAGGAAGAGAGGGATAGACTAGAGTTTGGATCTTTTTAGAGAAGATGTGGTTGACCTCCTGTCGACTTTTAACTCTTGCAAGGACTCAACCTCATATTCCAGGTCTTTTAAGTCCCACTTGATGCCACAGAGAAAATTTCCAACTGGGCTAAAGGGGCAGAAAAACTAGATCCTGGAAAAGGGCTGAAGTGACTACAGCTCCTGCAGTTGAGCAGCGGGTGCCTTCCACCTGTAGGGTGCAGAGGCGAGGCTGTGTTTCAGCTCTCGCTTAAAAGGGTAAGAGGAAGAAAAGACGGTGGGTCTCACCAAGATTGGGGAGGCCGTAGAGAAAACCCGGGACCCCAGAAGATCTTTCCTACTGTGGCTGTCCTCCTCATTCACTTTCTCTCCCCAAAAGCTTTTCTTGCTCATTTCCCTTTGTCTCCTCCCATCTCTGCTGCGGAACAGCAGAGTTAAAGGGACACAGCCAAGGACATTCCCTGACCGGCTCATTTTTGATCTTCTCATGCTGGAACCAGTGGGGAAATGATGGCATCTCTGATTGATGTGGTTGGCCCGTCCTCCCTTCTTCCCTCCCTTCTCCTTCCCTTCCTTCCTCCTCCCCGCTCTGTCTCTCTCTTATTCATTTGGCAATCAATGCCCCACCCCAAAGTTCCTTATGATCCTTGAACTGTGAAAGATGATGTGGTGGAAAGCAGCGTTCTGGTTCCTGGTGTCCCTTTAACATGGCTCGCTTGTCTCGGCCTCCTTAGTTGCTCCCAGTGCCATCCCAGCTCCTCTTGGATGCTGCCAGCCCAGCTCTGGAAACCGTGTTGAGCAGTCCTTCCACGCTAGAGCCCGGGAGGGGAGGGGGCAGGGGACCCTGGCCCGTGCGTTGGCAAAGGCCACTCAGCAGGGTGCGTTCCACCGTGTGTCTGTCTTAGTTTGTGTGGTTTAGTGCAGACCTGGGGAGGTCAGCCTTTCCAACCATGTGATGTTTGTGCAAAGCAGTGTGAGAATTGGGAAGGAGACGATAGTCTTGGCCAGTGTGGATGAGACCCACAGCAGTCAGGCATCCCAGGGCAGAGTCTCTGGGCCCGGGCGTATTCTGTGCTGCGAGCGAAGGCCCAGCGGTTTCCCAGCGGTGCCGAGGCCAAGCGCAGGTGCTGGAGGCCCGAGAGCAGCTTTCCTTCCCTGTTTCCTGGAACACGTGCAGGGGACGCGGGGAGCTACCTCCGCGGGTCTGAGTGTGAACCATCCGTCCATTCCTTCCTCTGCTGCAGATGAGTGAGAGCGAGACTCTCATCAGTATGGTGAACCGCATGGTGGAGAACTCCTCCCCCAGGGCCCAACTCTTCATGCAAGTAAGACCTCTGCCTGGCAGCATGGTCCCTGTCAATGCCATCTCAGCTGCTTGTGCATGGTCGGGTCGTCCCACCTGGGATGAGGCTCATTCTGCCCAGACTGCTCATCTGCCGGGCCTCATCCCCCCCGGAGACAGGCTCAGCCTGCTCTTCCTCCTTAGCTGCACTGTGTCACCTCCATTCTTCACGTTCATGGGTGAACCCAAGCCCATTTCCCAAACCATCCGATTAGCCAGCACTGACATCCCATGCCATGCTGGGGACTGCAAGCCTGCTTTTCAGTATCCATGACTCCCGATTCGTGTTTACTGTCTTCCTGACAGACGTCGTTGGGGTTCAGGGTGTGAGGGGCATAACGTGGGACCATCCGATACCAGAGGTGCATGGACTGTGCTGTAGTCACCTGCCATGTCATCAAGGCTGAGCGGTATTAGCTGAATCCAGAGAGGCTTCTAGATTCTTGCCAGTCAAGGCCTGTGATTAGTGTTCAGTACTAGGGTAACAATTCTTTTTTTATTTTATTTTATTATTATTTTTTGTGTGTGTGTGGTGCTGGGGATCAAACCCAGGGCCTTGTGCATGTGAGGCACGCACTCTACCAACTGAGCTCTATCCCCAGCCCTGGGGTAACCGTTCTAAAGTGTTCCCAGTGTTCATTCCCACCATGCTGCCCGTCCTGTCGCCACACACAGCGGAGGGTTGTTACTAGCCAGCTACTGGGAGCCCTGTCGCACCCACGGCAGCGAATCCCAGAGCTGAGGGCAGAGGAGTCGCAGAGTCTGAGTCCAGCAGATGTCTGGTCTCTCCAGAGTCAGCCAAGGACAACTGGGATGAGTCTAGACTGTGCCATCACAGGCTCCCCAGCCAGGGGACAGAGAATTAGCTCAGAGCCCCAGAACGGAAGCCACCCGAGGTGACGGACCACAGTGTGTGGCAGGAACGGAGCAGGATTGTGGTGTCAGCCTGCGTGCCTTCAGCCAACCCTGCTGCAGTAACCACCTCGTGTTCCTGCAGGTCCCTCCGTACCCAGAAGTGTTCCGGGACGGCCTCCACACCTTCAAGTTAAACGAGCAAGACACGGATGTAAGGGCAGCTCTCCCTGCTCCCTCTGTCCACTGCAGCCACCTCCTGCTCTCGTCCTCATCCTCCTTCCTCTCTGGGGCTTTTTCTCCGTCCATCTCTTGCTCCTCCTGGTGGCTCCTCATACATTTGACTCATGTCCTCCCTCGCTACAAACACAGCGTTCGACCTGCCTCCTCATCCCCCTTCTCTTCTAGATCTTACCACTGACTCCCCCTTCCCTCCCATGCGGGCGCCATGCATTTCCCCCGCTGAGCTCCAGGCCCGCTGGTCAGCAGCAGTGGGACCTGCTGGGAGCAGGCCAGCAGGCCTTGTTGAGAGTTATGTCAGTCAGTCTGCTCTGGGCCCAGCAAGGCGCTAGCCCCGACAGGTAACTAGAAAGAAGACACCTGCTCTGGCCCTCAGGGGGCTTCAGGCGGTTGGAGACACCAGGCCGCAGGAGGTGACAATAGGGATTCAGTGACTGAAAGGACCAATAAGAGTTTCCTCAGACATGGGGGATGTGAGGCCATCTGAGGTGGTAGGTCAGGGGCACGACAGGTAGCTGGGAGCTGGGCCTTGAAGTTCAAAGGCCCAGAGGGCAAGATTTGGCTCAGAGGAAGGGATCTGATGAGTGGCCTAAGTGGATGTGGAGAGCACAAGTCTTTCCAGAAGAGGGATTTAGCCCAACTTGTCTCTACGCTGCTGGCCCTGCTCAGGCAGGGGATCTGAGCAGTGGACCCAGGAGAGGTTCCAGCCAGGCAAGGGTCAGAGCTCACAGGGGCCCCAGGGTCTCAGGATGAGAGAGCAGGGGCTTCCCGTGGGACTGAGGGGCCAGTTGACACGGCACTGCTTTCTCTCAGACTGCTTACGCCCACACCTGCCTGCCCTTCCCATCCTGCTGGGGAGGTGAAGCCACAGTCTCCTCTGAATTGCTCTCCTGCAGGAAAATGGGGGTGTGGGCATCTAAAATGGGGCTCTCGGGCCTCCCAGCCCCCTGCAACCTGACCCTCTTCCTCAGAGAATAAGTACATCTCCCCTTCCAACATGGAGACCCTCCTCTTCCTGAAGCCTTCGAGGTTGAGGCAAAGGCTCAGGGTTCCTCAGCAGGGGAAAGGAGGCGGTATCCAGAGGCCAGGCCCTGCCAGCCCAGTTCCCAGGTCCCCATCAAATCGTGTCCTTCATCCCCTTCTTTCTCCCTCCCCTCCCCCTACTCTGGGCCCCCAGAAGCTGCTGGGCAAGTTGTGTGAGCAGAACAAGGTGGTGAGGGAGCAGGACCGGCTGGTGCAGCAGCTCCGAGCAGAAAAGGTAAGAGCCTGGGTGGCCTGGAGAGGGGACGGCGGGTTGGAACTTTGGTTTGCTGTCTCCGTCCTTGCTGAGCTGGTGAAGCTTTGTCCTTCTTTACACTCCTGTCCCACTCATTCCTGGAACCACTGAGGGTCTCCTTCTAGGGACCATACCCAGGGGGAAGGCAACCTCTGCTAAGCTGCCTGGTTGAGTGGCCAGGGCTTAGGCCTCTGCTGTTCAGACCCCAGAAAGGAGCTATCGGGGTAGCTGATGTCACTCTCCCACCTTCTTCAGGAGAGCCTGGAAAGTGCCTTGATGGGGACCCACCAGGAGCTGGAGATGTTTGGGAGCCAGCCCGCCTATCCTGAGAAGCTACTGCACAAGAAGGAATCGCTGCAGAACCAGCTGATCAACATCCGGGTGGATCTGTCTCAGGCGACCACGGTAACCTGGGAGTGGGGTCTGGTGCCCCTCACCATCCATCTGTGCTACCCTAACCCTTGGAGGGCAAAATTCAATTGCTCCCACCCAAGAGGGGCATTAGCAAAGACCCTGACTCTGCCTTGCAACAAGTATACCAGTCCATTCATTCCATAGTTTCCACCTAGAAAAGGAATTTATTTCCCATCAGCCGTAGCCATACCTGAATTCCTTCAGGACAACCTCAAGTGGAGGGTTGATCATTTCCTTGGTTGCTCCAATGCCTCTGCTGCCTACTTCTGTTTTCTGGCTTGGAGAAGCAGCACTGGAGGATTGGCTGTGGTCCGGTCCTCTCCCAGTGCGTACAGGGTAGAGCCTCCAGCACAGGCTGTTTGGATAATGATGACTTTGAGAAGCAGCAGCAAAGGCCCCAGGCAAACGTGGCCCAGAAAAGAGGAGTGTGTCTAAGTTCCAGGGAACGGACACCCTCTCCCAGGCCTTTTCCTCTTTGCCCACCACTCCTGGTCCCCCAATGGGCGAAGAAGAGGAGAGTGCAGAAGTGATCAGCCCCTCTCTGCCTGGCCACATGCCTAGAAGGATCAGCTTTGTTTCTTTCCACAATGGGATGTGCCCCAGTCCCTCTTGTAAGGCTAGTGTTGGCTGTCATCAAAATGTCTCTGCCTTGTGCCCCTCGCCTTCTGTTCCTCTGTGTCCCCCTACCCAGGCCTCAGACTTCAGGTACCCTGGTCCTGTCACAGGGCAAGGAGGGAGGCCTTGACGGAGGCCGTTTCTCAGCCCACCCCCTCTGTCTTACAGGCGCTGGCTAACAGCACCGTGGAGTACGAGAACCTCGAGTCCGAGGTCTCTGCCCTGCACGATGACCTGTGGGAGCAGCTCAACCTGGACATCCAGGTGAAGAAGGGCCCCTGAGCAGACAGGGCTGGGATGCGCGCTAGGTCTTCCGTGGTCCTTTTGGGCAGAAGAGACCCATGCTGTCTCCTTTCTCTCTTCAGTGACTTCAGAGACTTAAGGAGCTGGTCCTGAAACTAAAGACCACTTGTAACAGACTCTTGAGTTTCGGGGTGAACATAATGTGGGTTTCTTCTTTATTCCCACCAACTCCTAGGGAAAGGAGCTAATGCCAAAGCATGGAGACTTAGGTCAGATCTAGAGTGTTCTGTGACAAAGGATTTAAAACACAGACATAGAAATATCTCCCATGCTGTCGGAAGAGTGGCCAGAAGCCAGGCTCAGTGGTGCACACCTGTAATCCCAGTGATTTGGGAGGCTAAGGAAGAGGAGGCTCGTGAGTTCAAAGCCAGCCTCAGCAACTTTGTGAGAGACTGTTTTAAAATAAAATGTAAAAAGAGAGAGAGAGAAGAAGAAGAAGAAGAAGAGTGGACAGAACAGGAGTGACCTATGCAGGAGTTTACGTAGGAATGAGGCTTTCCTGCCTGGCCTGGTTGGAAACAGCCAACCTGCAGGCAGAAGGACAGACAAGTGACCTTGAGGAGTTCTTGTTCTCTGCTTCCTGTCTTTTTTCTGTCCAGGCCCTGCCTCTTCTCCAGCTAGTTTTACCAGCCCTGTTCCCCTGATGTAGTTAACACTCTGGTTTCCCCCATTTTCCTTCTGGTAACAAAACTCACCTCTCCTGCCCTCCCACTGACTGGGCAGGGCGATGGGAAGAGCCAGGTCCTCCCACATCCTGTGGGCAAGCCACACTCTGAACACGCACGTTTTAGGAAATGGAGCAGGGATTCGGTCAGCTTCTGATCAAGTGGATCCACATGCAAATGGTGGGCATGTCACTTACACTCCACATGGTCCTGGGCGCAAGTCCCCTCATCTCTGAAATGGGGCAATGCCGCCCTCACCATGTAGAGCTGTTGTGCCACCAGAATGAGCTGGTACGTGCAAAGCCCTGGGCGTGGCGCCTGGTACTAGGTGATGCGGCGTGAAGAGTGCTGTCGTCTTCCGCAGTACAACTGCGCTGAGGGTGCTCCATGGCTGTAGGGTGCGTTAGGACTGTTCGGAGGTGAAGAAAAACACCCAGAAAACAGGCTACCACATACGGGGGCATCGCTCTCAGACCACCTGATGCGCCATGGGGGAACCCAGAAGGGTCGATTGTCACTCTTGGTTCTGAGGCTCTGGCAATTCTGGGGACACAGTTTCACACAAGCCAAAGAATCAAAGGCTCCCCATGAGAAGGAGGCCCATGCTGGAGAGGCTGTGTGTACATGCCCATGCAGGCAGGGCGGCCGCTGCCTCCTGTGAGTCCAGAGAGGTGCTGGTCCAGGGCTCTGGGCTAGGGATGAGGGCAGGGACAGACACCCCTTAGAGCTATGTCCTTTGACCCACTCTGCAATTGTTTCAGAATGAGGTGCTCAACCGGCAAATCCAGAAGGAGATCTGGAGGATCCAGGATGTGATGGAGGGGCTGCGGAAGAATAACCCTTCCCGGGGCACGGATACCGCCAAACACAGAGGTGGGAGCCCCCTGGGCCTCGTGCTTCTCTAGAAGTGCTCCAGCGATTCTGGCCTCCATCTCACACCTGCCAGCTCACTCTCTGCTCAGAGCCAGCGGGGACCTTCTCAGGGTCCCAGAATCTTCCCCTGAATCCTAGGGTGGTAGGCTGGGCTCCCTTATCCCCCAGGTAGACCACTCAGAGACCCTGCCGACCCAGATGCCCTACAGTCCTCCCCAGGAAAGGTCAAAGCACCCCTGAGCCTCCTGACCACACCTGGGCCCACTGGTGACCTCTCCCCTAGTGCTTTCTTTGAGCCCTGGGCCCTCAGGCTGGCTTTTTTGACACCTTGGAGGCCACAGTGACAGCTCCATCTACCACCCCCTTGATCAGGGTCCCTCTTGACAGCCAGCCTGTGACCCCAGCCACCTCTAGTGAGTCTCTTGCAGCAGGGCTGGATGGTCCTCCCTCTCCCATCTCAGTCTCGGGTCTCCCTCCTCCTCCCTCATCCCCCATGTGCACAGCGGGCCCCGCCTCTGCTCCATGCCTCACCTCTCTCCCCTTCCGTTTCCCCCCCAGGAGGACTCGGCCCTTCAGCCACCTACAGCTGCAACAGCCCAGCCAGCCCTCTCAGTTCTGCCAGCCTCACCAGCCCCCTGAGCCCCTTTTCACTGGTGTCTGGCTCTCAGGGGTCCCCCACCAAGCCGGGGTCCAATGAGGTAAGCTGAAGAGGCGGAGCACAGGTAGGCAGGGGAGGGAGGGGACATCCTCATTTTCCCCAAGTCGCCCGAAGTCGGTGCCCATCTCTTCCGCAGAGGCTCCGGTCCCAGTGCTTTGGCCCTTCTCTCAGGGGGTCCCTCTCACAGCTGGTCGTGTGGCCTTCCTCTGCATCTGCTCTCATTTCCTCCTCAGCCCCCTTTGGGCTTCCTGAGCACCAGGATAGTTAGCAACCATCCCCTGCCCTTGACCAGCAGGCAGACCTGGGAGTGTTCTGGGGGTGGCCGGGTGCAGGTTCGGTGTGGGAAGCGGTTTCCTGGTCAGTCAGCAGGTGCTCATGAGAGCTCTGGGCAGCAGGGGTGGGATCAGCCCTCTCGGGAAGACACTCACGATGACCCAGGTTCCCTCACTTCACTCGGGGAGCCCAGCATCCAGCAGGGACAGACACTCAGTTAGCAAACAGGGCGGTGTGGTCTTGGTATTGAGCCCTGGGGTTCAGACCGTAAATGCCCTGAATACTCCAAAGGAAGGGAGGGAACCAAAGGCAGGTGGCACTTCACTGGGCCAGTGAGTGTTTGGACAGGTAGAGGGACAAGGAAGAGGTGTTGTGGCAGGAGAGATGGCGGAAGCAAAGGGAGGGGAGTGAGGGGAGAGCTCTGGAGAAACAGTGGGAGTCAGGGGAGTGGCGGGCGGGTGGGGGCTCCGTTGAGGAGAGCCATGAAGGCCAGGTGGAGGCCAGGTAGAGCTTCCGCTGTGGAGCTGGCGCTCTCTCTAGGCCCCGGGGAGGGATTCCCCACGTCCTGGGCCCATCCTGCATTTCCTGTAATGATTAATGTCTGGCTCTTGCTAATGCTCTTCTCTCCTGCTCTCACAGTGGCTGCTCTTGCTCCTCCTAATGCTCTGGCTTCTCTGACACAGGAACCTGGCCCACCTCGGCCTCCCCTCCCCAAAGCCTACGTTCCCCTGGAGTCTCCTCCCACCGTCCCTCCACTCCCTAGCGAGAGCCGCTTCTGGCCATACCCCAACTCCCCTTCCTGGCACCGCAGTGGCGAGACAGCCAGGGGTCAGGTACCCAGCACCCTTGGGTTCTGGAGGGGTGGGGACAGGGGAGAACAGGGCAAAGGGCCAAGGCCAGGGGTCAATGCAAGGCCCTAGGATTGTTTTCCTCACTCATTTTTCCAAAGCTCAATTACCACTAGGCCCTACCCCATTGGACTCTGGGATAATGAAAAGATCTTGAGAGTCACAGGTCACCTTTCCCCTTTTTGTTCTCTGTGGACGGTGGGGAAATGAGGTGCTGCCCCACTCTGACCCCAGGCTCACAGGCAACAAAGGTTGTCAACGCTGATGTCATCATGCCCCACTCCCTACCAACACGACCCACCAAAGGAAATTAAGCAACACTCACCCCCCAGTGCCATTTCAGTCCCTGTCCACTCAGAGCCAGCCTTTTGTGTTTCCTTTCTGCCTCTGTCACGTCTTGTCTTCTTTGGGTCTGAGCTCCTAGGCGGGCCCTCTTCTCCCCTGATTGGGCCTCTTCTCTCACCTGGATTCCTAGCCAAGATCCAGGAGATGGGCATTAGGCTTGGAAGAGGTCATGTGGTAAGACATCTGTGCCTAAAATTGGAAATCCATGTGCTCATCTAAGCTCAGCTCCGTGTAATTCGTGTAACTCTTGAGAGTTCACAGTGAGGTGCACGAAGCAGGTAATGTTACCTGTATTTGACGGGCAAAGAAAGGGGATGGATCTTACCCATGCTCTCCAGTTGGGCTAGAGCTGAGGTCTCTGACCCTTAGCCTGGTCTTTCCAAATTCTACTCACTGAGACTTGGATTATTCACTGAACAATGGGAGGAGGTGGCTCAGATGATATCCGAGGTCCCTTCTAGCCTCATGATTCTGTGAGCCCATAACTAATGCCCCTTTCCTTCCCCCAGAATCCCAGTACCCAGGCCCGCTGGGTTCTGTGTGCCACAGTCTTAAGTGGAATCTTCAGATTCCTCAGAGACCCTAGGCTTTGCAGCCCCCTCCTCTGGCCTTACCTTGACCCTGGCTCACAGCAAGTCTGTGCTGCTTAGAACTTGTCATGACAACTGGTCAGTTTGAGGGCCTCTCTGTGCACCCTAATAAGCCCTTTTGGAGGCCCTAAGTGCTTATTCCCCAAGATGGCCCCAGGTTTATCAGCCTGAAATGCACGGGGAGGAATCTCCGGTGCGTCATGGCCACTCCCCAACTGGCACACATATCTCCCTGTTCCCTGTGTCTTTAAGAGTTTGAGCTCCAGTCATTGCAAAATAAAGAAGCGTCACTGGGAGCCAAATTCCCAGCAGCCACTCTGTTATCAACCACCTTCTCGTTCTTCCTCCCCAGCCCAAGGCAGGCTATGAGCAGAGCAAGAAAGACCCTCACCAAACGTCACCCCTGGACACCCCCAGAGATATCAGCCTTGTGCCCACCAGACAAGAGGTGGAGGCAGAGAAGCAGGCAGCTCTCAACAAAGGTACTTTCTGGGACATCTTCCCCCAGAGGTAAGGCTAAGGGTGGGAGAGGAGCCCTGGAGGCTCATTTAGACCTGAAGAGAGCGCTCACCCAGCTGGGCCTGTAGCCTGCTTCGAGTGAGACTGAGCCTCCCTGCCTTCCTGCTCGGCACGAGGCCCATGGGCTGCTCTTGCCTCCCTGCAGTTGGCATTGTACCCCCTCGGACAAAGTCACCTGCAGATGAAGAGGTGGCCCCATCGGCGGTGGTGAGGAGAACAGCCAATGGACTCGCCAATGGACTGTCCTCCAGGGTGAGTCCGTGACCTGACTCTGAGCTGGTGTGGGTCTGTGCTGGTCTGTGAGCCCAGGGCTGTGAGCGTCCACCATCTTCCATTACTGTTCCAAAAATCTAGGGCTAGGGGAGAAAGGTGTAGAGCAAGATTCCCTTCAGGAATTCATGTCAAGGGACAGGGAAGATGGACATAATAAATATGATTCCTAATAAAATTATCACATGCCATTGGTGAAATAAAATAGAGGAAAAGTGGCAAAAACCAGAGGTCACAGTCAAATGTGCTGACCCACGGCAGGGCATTTGTTCCCTGGGGCTGCGGGGAATTTGAAAACCGCACATGGGGTGGTGTAAGACGAGTGTATTCTCTCAGTTTGGAGGCCAGAGTCTCCAGTCAAGGTGTCAGTTCCTTGGACACTCTAAGGAAAAGTCCATTCCACACCCTTCCTTGAGTTTGTGGGGGCTCCTGGCAATCCTTCGTTTCCTTCTCTTGTGGACACATTAGTCCAGCCTCTGTCTCCATGTCACTTTCTCCTCTGAGTGTCTCTTTTTCTATATCTTAGAAGGACACCTACCATTGGATTTAAGGTTCACCCTCATTTATAATGATCTCATCTTCAGATTCTTAATTATGTCTGCAGAGATCTATTTCCAAATAAGGTTGTAGGAGGATCGTGAGTTCAAAGCCAGCCTCAGCAACTTAGTGAGACCCTAAGCAACTCAGTGAGACCCTGGCTCTAAATAAAATAGTTTAAAAAAGGATGAGGATGTGGACTCAGTGGTTAAGCCCCTCCGAGTTCAATCCCCCGGTACCACAACAACAACAAACAAATAAGATCGTAGTCACGTATTGAGGGTTAATGCTTAGGCATGTTTTAGGAAGGCTACTATTCAACAACTGTACTCCCAAGTTTTATGCCATTCCACTTGCAAAATCCATCCATTCCATTCCTATATCCCCAAAAATATCTACTCATGGCATCAACTCTAAGTCTAGAATCTCATCTAAATATCATTAGCTCAGAAGTCCCAATTTCATCATCTAAGTCATCTTGATTATCAAGTATGTGTGAAACACAATAATATGATCAATCTTGGGGCGAAATTCCTGTCTTCTTGTGAAACTAGAAATAAGCCAATCAGCTTCCAAAACACAATAAATAATGGGACAGGTAAAAGGTAGTCATTCCTGTCCCCAAAAGGAGAAATTAAAAGGAATAAAGGAATTACTAGTCCCAAGTAAGTCTGAAATCCAACAAGGAAAATTCCAGTAGGTATGTATGTAAGTGTGCATGTATTTTTCAGTGCTAGGGATCAAAGTCAGGGCCTTGTGCATGCTATAGGCCCCCCCTCTGTCATCAAGCTACATTCCCTGCCCCTGTTAGGTTTTAAGGCCTGAGAATGATCTGTGGCTCGCTAGCCTTCCCTCTGTATTGATGAGGGTTCTGCCCACCCTTGCTGCTAGGCCTGCCCCTCTGGTTTGCTTTTAGAGTCAGTCTTCCTGTGTGTGTGTATGTGTATGTGTGTGTGTGAGAGAGAGAGACAGAGAGAGAGAGAGAGAGAGAGAGATATCTAGGGATTAAACCCAGAGTGCTCTACCACTATCTGCATCCTAGCCCTACTTATTTTTATTTTGAGACAGTATTTTGCTAAGTTGCCTAGTCTGGCTCAAACTTTGCAATCCTCCTGCCTTAGCCTCCCAAGGTGCTGGGATCGCAGGGCCTGGGCCGCACCTGGCTCCTTCTTCCTTTTTCTTGGCACAAGTTTGTGGCCAAGGAACTCTATTAGCCTATTTCCTGCCTGTAGGATCCCAGAGATCTGACATCCCCCCACATCTTTTCTCTCTCTTTTATTACCCACTAGCCAGTATGTTTGCTGATACAACATTCTCAAAAGCACAGGTAGGTTCCTAGGTATTTCAAGGGGATCCATGCCGCTAGAAGACTCTACAGATCCTTTCTGGACAATCCCATCTCTGATTCTGGTTTCTGAGATGGTGGATTGGATTCATGAGTCCCACACCTAATCTATTCCGCTAAATCTTGTCCAAACACATCTTTGATTGCCTGCCTTCCTTCCTTCCTTCCTTCCTTCCTTCCTTCCTTTCTTTCTTTTTTAATATTTTTTAGTTACACCTGGACACAATATCTTTATTTTTATGTGGTGCTGAGGATCGAACCCAGTGCCTCACACGTGCAAGGCAGGCATTTTGCCACTGAGCCCCAGCCCCAGCCCCTGATTGCCTTGGCAATACTTTTCCAAAAGGGAATTTCCCCAATTTAATTGAGAACCTCCCAAATAATAAAGTGCAGGGTTTTTTTTGGCCTAACCTCTCCTCCTCCAGTTAATCTCTTTCCTCTCTCATTTTTATCACAAGTTCAAAGAGAATCAGGCCACACCCTCACCACTTTACTGGGGATGGCTTCTAAGTTCTGCTCTCCACTCAACAACAGGACACAAATCAGCGGAGTTCCTGCCACTTTGTAACAAAGATGTCCTTTCCTCTCCTTTCCAGTAATTTGTTCCTCATTTCCTTGCTAGACTTCTCCAGAAGCACCTTCAACCTCCAGTTTCTATCAACTTTCTGTTCACGATGAAACTTGTATTCTCTAAAGACCACAGAAGCTTTCTCTTCTCTTCCTTTCTTCTACACCCTCACCAGAATCTTCATCAAAGTCCCTATTTGCACCAGTCATCTCTTTAAGGAAACTAGGCTTTTTCTATCATTCACCTCAAAATTTGTTCAGCTGCTACCCATTATCCCATTTCTAAGTTTCTTTTTGTTGTTTTTGTTTTGTTTTTACAATAGCATCCATTTCCTAGCACCTAAAATCTGTGCTAATTTGCTAGGGCTCCAGGAGCAAACTACTACTTACTGTGTGACTTAAAACCATGGAGGTGGGCTGGGGATGTGGCTCAAGCGGTAGCGCGCTCGCCTGGCATGCGTGTGGCCCGGGTTCGATCCTCAGCACCACATACAAAGATGTTGTGTCCGCCGAGAACTAAAAAATTCATTTAAAAAAAAAAAAAACATGGAGGGGCTGGGGCTGGGGCTCAGTGGCAGAGCACTTGCCCAGCAGGTGTGAGGCACTGGGTTCGATCCTCAGCAACACATAAAAAATAAATAAATAAAGGTATTAGGTTCATCTACAAATAAAAACATTAAAAAAAGAGAGAAAAAAGCCATAGAAATTTAACTCTACATCATGGACAACCAGACGAACGAGAAGTTATACTCCGTTTATGTATGATGTGTCAGAATGCAGTCTGTCATGTACAACTAATTAGAACACATGAAAAAATATAAAATATTTTACAAACTTTAAAAAAATAGAAATTTATTCTCTCATTTATGTGAAGTTCAACATCAAGTGTTGGCAGGACTGGTTAGGACTGGTTCCTTCTGGAGGCTCCGAGAGAGAATCTGCTCTGGGCCTCTCTTCTGGCCTGTGGGTGTTGCTGACAGTGCCTGGCATTTCTTCTCAGGGAGGCGCGTCACTCTGATCCCTGCCTCCATCTTCCCATCTTCTCCTCTGCGACATCTTCTTTCCTGTCTCTTATGAGGACACCTGTTACTGGACATGGGGCTGCTCTGATTCACAATGATTTATACTTCAAGTAAAGTTATATTCACGTATCAGGGGTTAGGACTTCTTCCTGTCTTTTTTTTTTTTTTTTTTTTGGTACTAGGAATTGAACTCAGGGGCACTCCACCACTGAGCCACATCCCCAGCCCTATTTTGTATTTTATTTAGAGACAGGGGCTCACTGAGTCTCTGAGTGCCTCGATAAGTGGCTGAGGCTAGCTTTGAACTTACCAGTCTCCCAAGCCATTGGGATCACAGGTGTGTGCCACCAGGCCCGGCCTGGCCTATCTTTTGGGGACCACTGTTTAACCCACTGTAGTCAGGCTTCCCATAGAAGGGAAACCCAGGCAGGAGGTGAAGCACCTGTCCGAGCCTTATTTCCCCACTGCAGCAGGAGCGCCCCAAGAGTGCCGTGTTCCCAGGTGAGGGCAAGGTCAAGATGAGCGTGGAGGAGCAGATCGACCGCATGCGGAGACACCAGAGTGGCTCCATGAAGGAGAAGCGGAGAAGCCTGCAGCTCCCAGCCAGCCCTGCCCCTGAGCCCAGCACCCGACCTGCCTACAAAGTGGTACTGTGCTCCCTACCCCCACAGGCCCAAGCCTGGCAGCTACCCACACTGCCAGCTCTCAGGCCACGGCCAGCCTGTGCCAGGAAGGTTGGGGAGAGGGGAAGCTGGGAGAACCCAAGCCAGGCTCCTGGGATAACTGGGGGGAGGCTTCTCACCACAGGGCAGAATGTTTCCTGTTTACCTTTAAAAAAAAAAATAATGCACAAAAATGATTATTTTTGTTGAAATAAATTATGCAAAGTTCAGCTAGTGGAGAATCCACCACTAGGGCACCACTAGGGCACATTTCTGGAGACTCCTCTATGTGCTTAGCATGGAGCTGGGCATCCTGAAGACGGGCACCGTAGCAATGCAGTTCACAGATCAAGTCGTTTCATTCAAAGCCTTTTAACACATTGGGTGCAGCATGTGAAGACAGGAGACAGCAGGGTTGGGAGTGGCTAGTATTGACAAGAGATATGGATGAGACCTTGCAGTGGGCAGGCTTTGGGAAAACAGAAGGGAAGGGAGAGGGCTCTGCAGTGGAGGACGGTGGGAGCCATGGGGTGGCAGTCAGATCAAATGTGCACTGGTCAAGGACAGTGAGGATCTAGGTGTGGTTAGAGCTGCCTGGAGGCATAAGTAGCAGTGGTGGTCACCACAGGGCTGTCCCCTAGGTGCGCCGTCACCGCAGCATCCACGAGGTGGACATCTCCAACCTGGAGGCAGCCCTGCGGGCAGAGGAGCCTGGTGGCCAGGCCTATGAGACGCCCCGGGAGGAAATTGCCCGGCTTCGGAAAATGGAACTGGAGCCCCAGCACTACGATGTGGACATCAATAAGGAGGTGGGTGGAGCCCCCAGCGGGGAGACCCTGGGAGCAGATCAAAGGGGTGACCCCAGCATCTCCACAGCTCTCCACCCCAGACAAAGTCCTCATCCCTGAACGGTACATTGACCTGGAACCCGACACTCCCCTGAGCCCCGAGGAGTTGAAGGAGAAGCAGAAGAAGGTGGAAAGGATCAAGACGCTCATTGCCAAATCCAGGTAAGCAGGTCTGGGTGGAGCTCCACTGCCTCTGCCCTCCCTGGCACCGAGAACACCTGGGGCACTAGATGTCACGGGGGCACTGAGCCTCCCAGGGTAGAGCAAATGGAAGCGTGGCTCGAGGCAGCGGGCCGGACTCGGGAATCTCGCAGGGGCCAGGATGCTGCTGTGGGGCCCTCGAAAGGCCCGCGGGGCTCACACACGTACCATGAAGGGGTTGCCCTCTGCTGACCTCTCTTCCCCTTCAAGGCTGCCCTAATGTTCACTTGAACCTTTGAATTCAGTTGAAAACATCGAGGCAGGGGTCCCAACTGTTTTGCCAGGGTCCCACTCACTCACTCCTAGGGACAGCCTTGCTGGGCACCGGATATATCCTGGAAGGTCCCTGGCCCTGCCCGCCAACCTCAGCCTGCAGGCCACCCCAAGCCAACTGAACCATGCTGTCCCTCCCTCCATGTCTGTGTGTCTGTGCCTCTTCAGTATGCAGAACGTGGTGCCCGTCGGCGAGGGGGACTCTGTGGACGTGCCCCAGGACTCAGAGAGCCAGCTGCAGGAGCAGGAGAAGCGGATTGAAATCTCCTGTGCCCTGGCGACCGAGGCCTCCCGCAGGGGCCGCATGCTGTCTGGTGAGAGGGGCTGGGCCTCGCTCGCTCCACCAGGGAGACCAGCTGACCAAGTGTAGGGGAGGAAGTGCTGAGCCGCAAGTGGGGCAGGGACAGAGGTAGGAGGCTAAGGAGATGTTCCCCAAGGTCAGGGTGAGCATTTATTGAGCACCAGGTACTGTGCTAGGCCCAGGGGAGTGGAAAGGGGCTGGCGTTGCTGATGATCCTCTGAGCCAGTTCATGGAGGAGTGGTCAGAGGCCAGGAGGAGCACAGGGGCCATTCTGCCTGGGCAGGTCAGGTCAAGGCACAGAGAGGAGTGATAATGCAGCTTGATGGGAGAGGTATTTGCCAGTAGGGGGGAAAAAGCGTCATATCCTTTCCCTGCCTGTTCTTGCTAAATGCAAATAGGAAGAATAAAACAGAAGAATTTTTACACAGAGAAGCAGTCAAGGAGTGGAAAGTCATATAATCACCTCCTTGGCTGCTGACCAAACCCAGTTTCCTGCCAAGAAAAGGTGAGGATGAGGAAGTGACTTCACACCCTTACAAAGGTCCCAGCTAGATGTGATAGGGGCGAAGTCACCAGGATTAGTTTTTGGTTAGCTGCAGACAGTGTCCCAGAACAGATGAGGGTGTGATCAGGCTTTGAAGAAGGAAGTCAGTTCTGTATGAATGGGAGGGTAAAGGTGGAGGACAGAGAGTAGCAAGTCACGTAGACTGGAGATTGTCCCCTTCCAGACAAAGCCAACCTTGAAGGCCCCAGTCAGGAGGGAGCTGTGGCTTGAGATGACTGGTATAGGAGAGTGGGACTGCAGTGCAGGCCACCATTACAGCATTCTGGGCAGGACACAGGAAATAAGCGGATGAGAATCGTGGCAAGGGACGCGGAGGCAAGGAGGGAGGTTCCGGTTGGTGATTAAGAAAGGCTCCAATTCTGGTGCTCCCAGGCTGTTTCCTCAGCTGTAAAACCCAAATCAAAATGCCTACCTCAGTTCAGGCAGCATGAGGGTCAGAAGCGAGGTGTGCCAGGCTCCTAGCACTCAATAAATGCCAGCCAGCGGTCGTAGCCGTGATAGTGGTAGTGGTGTTAGTGACACTGGTGGGAGAATTGAAAATAGCAATCACTGGCGTCAAAATGGGAACCACTTGTTGGTTTTCTAATTATTTTAAATATGACTATTTTCAGAAATCAGAGGGTTTCAGGCCACAGCAAAAGGTGTTTAAGTAAGCCTTAAGGAAGAATCTGCCTGTCAGGTTTGGATGAGCCAGGTGTGGTGGCACATGCCCGTAATCCCAGCAGCTCAGGAGGCTGAGGCAGGAGGGTCACAAGTTCAAAGTCAACCTCAGCAACTTAGCAAGGCTGTAAGCAATCTAGTGAGAACCTATATCTAAAATTTTTTTAAAAGGCTGGGGGAGGGGGAGGCGCTGGGGATATGGCTCAGTGATTAAGTGCCCTTGGGTTCAATCCCCAGTACTCCACCCCCCAAAAAAGAGAGAAGTTTAGTCTGGGTAGCCAGGGAAGGGCCCCAGGTACTTCAGGGACAGGCTGTCTGCTGGGCTAGAGCTGAGGGGAGGAGAAGGATGGCTTTGGAGCGCCTTCCTGCAGCCAAAAGGCAGCAGAACCAGTTTGTCTGCAAGCAGGGAGGCCTCTGTTGGACCTTCCTGTAGCTTAGCTGCAAAATGAACTTGACCCAAGATCAAATTCCACATGCTCTGGGCAAAAGGCAACTTCCTGTTTCCAGAGGGCAGAGCACACAATGCTGTTGAAAACCCCACTCTGCCCTGTCTCAGCCCCGGCTCTCTCTGCTACAGCTCCCCAGCCCAGGGTTCCGCGAAAACAAACCCGCCCAGCCTATCCGATTTCCCCTCCACACACTCGGGCTTACATTTCAGGGTCTGTGTGCTAAAAGCAAATGGTCAACTTGCTTTTGCCAAAACCCCAACTATGTGAAAAATGGCTGTGGTAGGGCCAGACCTCAGACCTAGCTCACTGTCCCCACCAATCCTGGCCTGCGGCCCAGATCCCCCAGAGCAAGGGCTGGTCCTGGGCACATGCAGCGTGGGCATTAGGTTCATGACCAGGACACAGTGGCGGGAGTGGAGAACTGGGTACAGGTCGCTAGGACAGTGAGCAGCAAACACCTGTGCCTGATTGTGGGTGTGCAGCACAGGTAGTGTCTTCGGTGATGAGTGTGGTCATGTTTGCAGCTCCTCCCGGTACGCAGAGTCAGGTGTGTGCTACGTGAGAAGATGTGGTTTTTCAGAGTTTGTACGTGTGGCCCATCGTGTGCAGCGTCTGTGTCTGGAATGTTTATGGATGTGTGTATTTGTGTGTATTCAGAATGTGCAGCGTGTGGGTGGAGAGAAGGTTTGAGTGAATAGAGAAGTATGTATGTGTGTGAATATGTGTGTGCAAAACATTCCTAGTGTTAGGTGGAGGATTGTTTTTTACAAGTGGTGGTTACACATGAGTGTACCATATACAGGTGGAGGTCGTAGTTTGCGAGTGCATGTATTTATGTGTGATTGGCTTTTTGTGCAGCACAGTGATGAAGCCTGTTGGTGTATACGCTGTGTACTGTACAAGATTGTGATCGTGTGTCTATGCAAGATGAGAGCCAGCCAGTCTCCTGGATGTGATGCAACTAGTCTTCTCTGCTTGGATATGGAACTTAGGACTACACACATTGTACTATTCTATCTGTCCAGTACATATTGGCCACGCAGAGGAATTTTAACTATTTTGATATATATGTATTTCTAGTACAGATTTAGCATTTTTCTGCCTTCTTAAAAAGGTTATATTTACACCATTAACTTTTCTTCTTCATTTCATATCATTGTAAATATCCTTATTTTCCTTATTCCTCTATTAAAGGGATGCTCTTAGGGGCTGCTCTAAATCTATTTGTAGCCATGCAAAGTGTTCTCCTATTACATTTTTTAAAGTTATTATGTCTACTTTTTACAAAAGAGTTTCACTCTTCAGTTGTACCTTCTTGCAGATTCCATGAGGCTCTCAACTGTTCTCTCTCTCTCTCTCTCTCTCTCTTTTCCAATTTTCTGGTTCTTATCTTCAAGCCAAAACCCCAGCAAGACAACACCTACTGGAATTGTGTATAAATAAGACTAACTGGTCCGGTGTGGTGGCACACGGCTGTAATCCCAGGAGCTCGGGAGGCTGAGGCAGGAGGATTACAAGTTCAAAGCCAGCCTCAGCAAAAGCGAGGTGCTAAGCAACTCAGTGAGACCCTGTCTATAAATGAAATACAGAATAAGGCTGGGGATGTGGCTCAGTGGTCTGGTGCCCCTGGATTCAATCCCTGGTAGCACCCCCCCACCAACTCCATCAAAAAACAACCAAAAAAACCAAAAACCTGGACTCCGTCAGGCTCTCCCAGAAGTCATTTATAAGAACCCCATTTGCATGTACATGGTAACATCTGCTTGGTTCCCTTGAGATACTCCTTGCCCGCTGGGTGTGGTGGTGCACACCTATAATCCCAGCAACCCAGGAGGCTGAGACAGGAGGATTGCAAATTTGAGGTCAGCGTCTGCAATTTAGTAAGACCCTCAACAACTTAGCAAGACCCTGTCTCAAAAGAAAAAGCAGAAAGGGCTGGGAATATAGCTCAGTGATAAAGCACTCCTGGGTTCAATCCCCAGTAACAAAAAAGTTTAAAAAAAAAAAAAAAAAGATTCCTGGGCTGGGGTTGTGGCTCAGCGGTAGAGCGCTCACCTCGCACGTGCGAGACCCTGGGTTCGATCCTCAGCACCACATAAAAATAAATAAGTGAAATAAAAGTATTGTGTCCAACTACAACTAAAAAATAAAATTTAAAAAACGAAAAGAGATTCCTTGCTTAGTTGTTTAGGTTTTGGCTGTCAGAGTTGAGATAACTTACCACGTTATCTCAGTGATGTGAATATGTGCGCAAATGGATGTTTGGAAGCATTTGTGAATGCATTTGTACATGGCGTTACAACTGTGTGTTGGGTCACATGGAAGGACACGGGCTTGGACGTGCACAGACATTCCCATATCTGAGTTGTGTGCAAGGAGTGTAACTGTATGGTGTTGCCAAGTCCCAGACCCAAGCTGTGGATGGCGTGTAGGCACAAACTCCCTGTGAGAGCTACATTGGGTCATGTACACACGTGGCTAAGGGCAGCTCTGCAATAGCGAGAGTTACAATGGCCCTTTCCTTTGCCCAGAGGTCAGGAAGCTGATGAGGTCCAGGCCGGGGTGGGGAGCAAGGGACTGGGTTCCATTCAGCATTGCATCCCTCTTGGTGGAAATGTAGTGTGACCCTGGCTGAGGTCTGGTTCTTCTCTGAGCCCAAGCGGGGACATGTTCTCTGCCATCCTCCTACACTGAGGATGCGTGAGGTTCCGGTGACTGCATAGAGCTTGTCCCCAGGGATATGACTCTCCTTTTCATTGTCTTTCCACTTTGCTGTTCTCAACATGGAGTGATAATGATAATAGAGTAGAATCTCATTAATCCAAACGTCACCACTTCCAAGTTTGCGACTTATTCAAGGGTGGACTGCAGTTCGCCTTCACCTGTTGATGCAGTGAGGGTCTCAGGTGGTTGCGGGGGAGTGCATTTCTGAGCCTCCCACCATGTCTAGGCAGACCTTGCTTTCAGCCTATCAATCAGAAAATGTCAGGTTCATGGAACTGATTGCCATGGTGGTCCTTTCTCTTCTATATCTGCTCTGACTGTTTGGATTATTGTGATTTTACTGCACTATGAATCATTATCTTTAGTGATGCCACCATATATAAAGCTCCACATCCTCTTTCTCACTGCACAATGGTGGAGAGGTATGTGACCCTCCCACTGTTTTGGTGGGAAGGGAGCCTTTGGCCCAGAGAGGGCCCAGCCTCACCCACAGTCACACTGGTTCTTAGCAGAGCCTGGATTTGGCCAGGTCTCCTCTAGGACCTCACTCTGCTCCTTGGCACCCTGGGAACAAGGACAGCTTTGCCTCAGCTTGAGCAAGCTCCCAAGCTCGGCTCTTCTCTCTCTGCTTGTGGCCCGCCTTGCTCCCTGCCCGAGGAAGGGCCTCGCTTGCTCTGGGTCCCCAGCCTCGCCCCCACCCCATCGCCCCTATTCACTCCCCTGTTCATTTCTGTTTCCAGTGCAATGTGCCACCCCAAGCCCTCCCACCTCCCCTGCCTCCCCGACTCCACCAGCCAACCCCCTGTCGTCTGAATGCCCGCGGGGCGCCGACAGCAGCCTTACCATGCGGGTCTGAGCTCTGACGTAAGCACTTTTCTACTGTCCTTCACCCCTGCCCCCAGGGAATGGGTAGGCCCCTCCCATCACCCCACGGAGCCCCCTCCCCCTCCCATCCCACCCCCCCATTGCTTCTCCCCATCCCAGAGCCCTGTGTGCATCATCCCTCCCTCCATCTGCTTGTGCCACCCGCGTGGCCACCCGGGCAGTGCTGGCTGCAGGCTGCTGGCGAGGCTGCTTCTTGGAGGTGGTGATGCCCGTGGGCTTCGCTTCTCCAGAAGCAGAAGGGATGGCGCTGAGACCTCGCCCATCTGCTGTGGGGGAAGGCACTTCCCTGGCACCCCATCCCTGTACCTCCATCTCCGTTTCCCTGACCCTGTGCCCCCACCTTATCACCCTCACCTCTATCCTCCTGCCCCTAACCTCCCACCTCTATTCCCCACCCCACACCTCTCACCTCTATTTCTGCCCCCCCTGCCGTGTCCCACCTTGTATCTCCCACCCCTGATTCCTCTTCCCTGCTCCCTCACCTCTTCTCTCCCTGCCCTTACACCCCCACTCCTGTGTCCCTGCTCCATACCCCTGCCCCTATGCCCCCACCCCATGCCCCTCTCCTGTCCCACCACCCTCCTCCCACCAGCCAGCCAGCCTTCCATCTGTTGAGATCCATGGCAGTCCTGCCACAGCACCCTCAAAGCCCCCAGAAGCTGTCCCATGTCTCCATGCCCCAGTCTTACTGTGAATGAAAGTGCCCCTGGTAGCCACAGCCCAGGGCTGGTGCCCTTCCCTGCCCCTAGCACGGCCACTCACATCAGGCAAGTGGAAGAGACCTCCTCTCCAGAGCGCCCTCCTCTCCAGAGCGCCCTCCTCGGGGCTGCGGGTGGGCAGGCTCCAGCAGTGTCGGTGCCAGGGCTTCTTTCTGCCCCAGGAGGTTGGCTGGAGGCGCCGCCGCTCTGCGTTTCTCTTCTCACCCCGTTTCTCTCTTCTCTAGTGCAAGCCCTGGCCGAGGCCAATGCTGTGAAGCTCCACAGGGCCACCTTCTGAAGCGTCCTCTGCCCATGGAGGCCCTGGCTCCCGACTCTGGTCCCCGGACCCCCATGGGAATGCCACTGGGAGCCAGAACGGGGTCAGGGCTGCTGCCACGAGGAGCTCGGATGCCTGGGTCTCGCACCCGCGGCGCCTCGCCCTGAGACCCTAGCCACCCGTGCCGAGGTCACGCGGGGCCTGGACAGCGCTGTGGAAGTGCATCCTCTCTGATGCCCGAATGGCAGGGAGCCCCAGCCTGGCCCTGGCTGACATCATGGTGGCCCTCCTGGCACATTTCCTGATGGAGAGTGCACCCCGGTGGAGAGTGGACCCTTAGCCATCTTAGGTGAAGACCAGAGGTGAAGAGGAGGTGGACCCTCTGCCTCTTGGAGCCCCGCTGAGCACCCAGGACGGCAGCTGTCATCATCCCCCTCCCCGCCTGCCCCAGCTGTGCACAAGGCTTTGACACATCTCTGCGGATGGGACTTCCTGGGGTTTGGTGGAGACCAGTCACCCTGCCTGAGCCAAAGACAAGAGGAGGAGAGATGGGGAGAGGCTCCTGGGCTCCCAGAGGGGACAGTGCTGGCTGTGAGAGAGAGCAGCAGGTGTGCGTGTGTCTGAGAGCAGGTTGGGAAGGAGGGCAGCGAGGAAGGGAGAGATCCTCAGAGAGCGGGGAAGGGGAGGAGGATGTATTCACAGGGGGACAGGGGAAAATGGGAAGGTGAGTCAGGATTGGCTTCTCCACAGCGGAGGCTCCTCTTAGTGCCGAGTGTAGGGCCAGACGGTCATCTCTGCTCCTCCACCTCATCCCCAGGAGGCCCCACCAACAGGACACGTCTGGTGCCTCGGCTGGGGCGCTTGTGTGGGATCAGGGCTTGTGGGGAAGGGCAGTCGGGGAGTGGCAGCCTGAGAGATGATGCTTCCCGGGTCAGGATCTGCTGTCTGCCTCTCCCTCCTGGGATTGGGCAGAGGGAAGAACCTGTCCTGTGTCGGGTGTGGTCAGCCTTGGGGCCTTAGCTAGCTAGTTTCTTGTCCCATCCCGCCTAGAAAGTTCTATGGCCCAGCTGAGTGTTTTCCCCAGGGAGAAGGAATGAGGGGACCCTGCTTCTCGTCCCAGGTGTCCCAGAGGAGGGTCAGCGGAGGCTGGACTCTTACAATCCACCTACCAGTGAGGCGGTTGGGGATTGGCAGAAGCAAAGCATTCTTCTTCTGCTCCACCCACCTTGAGATGAATGTAGCCAGGGAGGAGGGAGAGAGGGCAAGCGGAAGTCACCTGCCCTTGAGCCTTCTCTGCCAGAGCGGCTGCCCAGAGACTTCAGCCTGACCTGCAGCAGCCCCACGAACAACTTCTTCATCTCCACCAATTCCTCTCCTCTCCTTCATGGCTGGGACAGTTACTGGTTCATATGCAAGTAAAGATGACCATTCATTCAACAAATATTGATCGAGCACCTTTTATGTACTGTTTAGGCACTGTTCTAGGTGCTTAGAAAATTCTTGGGCTTCTGAGGGTCGACAGATTGGGAGGATCTCCCCTAGCTTTACTTCTAGCAGGCTTTTTGAATAGGCTCCTTGGCTACGTTCCTATCTTTGCAGATCAAGCACTCCAGATCTGTCCTTTCTCTCTTACAGTCTGGCAGGTGGGATTAACTTCCAGATCACCCTCTTGGCCCACATTCTCCTCCTTCTGTAAGAAACAGATTTTTCAGGCCTTCCCTCCATGCCTTCCCCTCTGTCTCCTATATTTTTTTTTGAAGAAATACAAGGAAGATACCAAGAAATGACATCGCAACTCTGCCACCTCTTTTTCCATTATTTCACAAAGCTGGCTCTTTATGTTGCTTTACATGCCTTAATATATGTTTGATGGAGATGATACATGTTGGAGGTATCCGTGTGACACGTTTGTTTAGATGTCAGTCCTTTCCTTGGCTCCCGCCTAGGCCATTTTCTCTCCGCACCATTTCCTAGCATGTCAGGGCTAACCCCCCTTGCCTTTTTGATCCAAAGAAGGGGAGAGAAAAGACTTATTTTAAGACAGATCTATTTTATGCTTTTGTTTAAAAAGCCAATCTATTTTCAAAATGTGCAATGTCTGAATGGGTTTGCCGGTGATGTGAGGGGACTGCCCTAGGTCCCAACCGAATGCCCTTCCCTCTTCCCCTGACAGCTCCCTTCTTTCCCATCCCCCAGTCGGCAAAGGGCTGGCCCCCACAGCTCCCTGGAGAGCACCTTGCCAGAGCAGGGCATTCCTTTTGGATGTCCTGTCTCAAGGATGACACTGTCAACTCTCCATGGCGCACCAAGGGTCGTCGGGTGTGTGAATCCTCTTGAAGGAAATGTTTACAGTTGTATGCACAAATGGACTCCCACGCAGGCGCACCCTCCTCAGCTGGGCTCCTGGACCATCTCCCTCCCCTCCAATGCTCTGCTGGAAAGGGCAAGCAGTTTTGTGGCAGCCTGTGCTAAATGGCACTAAGGAGGTCATCGATGGACCCATGCTATGTGCAAAGCCCAGAGGAGGTGGCTCTGTGCCATTCCTGGCTCTTTATTGCAGACACATTCAAGTTCCTTGAACCTCCTACACTTTGGTCCCTCCCTGTCCTGGGTCACGTCTGTGGCATCTGCCTCCCTCTGTGATCTTTTTCCCTGGAGGCTGTTCTTAGAGGTGACACCTCGGTCTGGCATCCAGGCTGTGAAATCACCTTCCTTGCTGGGGAGGGTCCAGCGGACCATGGGCCATCTCAGCCTTACCCAAGAAACCCCCTGGGCTCTAGCAGGCTGCTGCTGAGACCCTGAACTCTGCCAGCTCAGCCTTCCAAACTGCTTGGTGACTGTCAAAATGAGCAAGGAGGCTTTTGCCTTGGAAGGATTTGGGCAGGATGGGAGTTTTTGTCCAGATCTAAAAAACGAGAGTTTTGGAATTTTGCACAGAGCTCTTGGCCAGCATTGAAGCCCAACCTCCAACTGTGGCACTTACTGGCACTCTGTGCCCAGCTCAGAGCATCTTGCCATGAACAAACAGAGCCCAGATGGAGATCCAGGGCTAAGTGACCATCCTGGGGAAGCTCTGGTTACGCATCTAGGGCCTTCCCAATTAGCACATTACCTCCCTGATCAATAACCAAGAGGCTGCACTCGAATACTGCTACTGTCACTTTAAAGAATTTTCTGAGGTTGCAAAAGCTGTGCACGAGCTCTTCTGCCTTTGCAAGAGGCATGTTCTTGGGGCAGGGCTGACTACAGCAAGATGGAACGACTTCCTTACCCCTTAGGCACCCTCCCTCCACCTGGCAGCTCTTAAAACTAAGGAAAAATATAATATATAAATATATATACATACACATATATCTATTTATGCACATATTGGGGCCAATTTGATTTGCCTAGTATTAGACAATAAACCATGCAAGGAAATTTATGATCTCAGTGTCTTTATTTAGTATTAAAGTGACCTTAGATGAAGAGTTAAGGTTAGATAAACAGAGGGCATCTCTGTCGGGACCAAACAGCTGTAGTACCCCCTTAGCGTCTGGCTAGCTGAAATAGCATCTGTCTATTTCGCCCTGACTGAAATAGGTGAGAGCTTCTTCGTTCCCTCTTTTCAGCAGAATTCTTAATAGATTTAGGCACTGGAGAATACCTGTGAGTTTTGCATTTGTATCTTGCAAGTTTGTATAAACAACAGGAAATAAAACGAATGGTTTGTACACCTGGTGTGCGTGTCCACTCCCTATCCGTGCCGGCTTCGGTGTCTAGGAAAGGGGGGCAGAGCTGAGGGGCTGGGAGGGCCTGGAAGCCTGTTGTCCACCCTCCTCCCCAGGCTTCCGTCTGCGCTCCTCAACCTACCTCACAGGCACAATCCCAGAGTCCTGGAACAGCGCCCTCTCCCCTCAAGCCGGGGAATAGTGGTCTGTACTGACATCAGTGTCATCGTTTCAAATCAGGTGACTCTAGATCGGGGCTTGTGCTGAGGTGCTGTGTAACAAAAGTATCAGATGCTTCGGGCTCAGGTGCCTTCCTTGATTTGTCTCTGAGTCAAGGTAGGAAGGTCGGAGAAGAAAGTGGATCGCTAGCCTTCCTCAGTCTACACGGCGCCTCAAACAGCTGCTTTGGGGTGGGGGGTGGTGTACAATTTGGGGGAAATACCAGAAGATCACCCCGGTTTTTACCAGGCCTCCATCCCTCGCAGGTGTTTAGTGGTTTCTCAGTGTGAACTCTGCAGAATGAGTCAAGAAGCCTGGTAAGTTCTATGTGGTGGACGGTGGAGAGGAGAAGGAGCCCGGGGTAGTGGCAGGCCTAGGCCGGATGTCTAAAAATAGAGTTGCAAGGCAAACTTCCCCTGATTCCCGATTTTGGTTGGTTTGACTTTGACGGCTGACGCTGAGTTCTGGACACCTGTTGTCACCCTAAAGCCCCGGCAGAGTGGGCGTTCATATTGTGGGTTTCTCAGCATCCCCAGGGGAGCTGTAAACCCTGGTGATTCCTTTGTGAATCAGGGACCAGGTGTAGACTCCAGATAGACACCTTGGAGAACTTGGCACTTTACGGGGGTCCAGGCCTCTATCTGCAGTCCCCACCTGGTAGAGCCAGCAGCAGGGGCTTGCACAGGAGGTCACTGAGCCCCAGGAACATCACTGTGTCCCCAGCCAGCAGCTCTCTTCTCCTGGATCAGATGAGATTGTGCCAGCAGCAGGTCCTGCCAGTTCCACCTTCTGTCCCCGATCCCCATAAGCCAGACTGAGGTTTCTAATAGGGGCCAACAGTCAGGAAATGCAAATGAAAGAGCAGCGACCCACAGGCCCTTTAAGGAGTGGTGTCCAGAACACTATGACCATGACCCTGAGGGTCAAGCGGGCCACCAGGGGCAGCCCCGCCCCCGCCCCTCCTTGCCAGCTACCCTGTGGAATGGGCGCGCTGCCGGGTGAGGTGGCCTGAGAAGGCGTGTGGTGTTCTGCTCCTGGTCCTGCTGCTCTTCAGTTTCCTGGAAGAGAAAGATATCAGCCACCATCTTGAAGAGCCCTCAAGAAGGTCAAATGAGCAAACAGTTGGAATTCACTTACAATCGTGAGGGAGCAGCGGTGGTGGTGTGGGAAGGCCCCGAGCCACCTTGGGGGGCAAATGTTTTCCAAGTCCACCTTCACAGGAAGAAGACTTCATCAGAGCTGGCTGGGAGTCCTCTGAAGTGTCCTTTCCCTGCTTGGTCCTGTACCCCGAGCCCCAGGCAGCTACCCCAGCCCTCCCCAGGACTGGTATACTCCTTCCTGAAGAGGTGGGCTGTGGGTAAGGCCCTCTGGGCTCAGCTCCAGTGCCCAGAGAACCGAGAGGTCCAGTTCTCCTGGGTTCATAGGTGGGCCCATGGCTGGGAGTAGAGGTTGGAGGCTTCCTAGCCGCTGCTCTATACCTCTGTGGGAACACCGAGAACCCTAATTTGAGAAGAGAGAGGTCTTTCATGGCACAGTGTATTAATGGTGAATTAATAAGCAGCAATAGTAATTATCCTAGAATAGCAATAACAATGGCTTATTAAGTGCCTCCCACTTGCCAGGTATCAGCTCTATGTGCCTCACATGTAGGCACCCACCAATCCTCCCATTTCTCTACGTAATTGGTGCTATTCTTGCCCCAGGGACTGAGGCTTGGAAAGGGTAAATGGAATGCCCCAGGCCTCATGGAGTTGGGACGGAGCCCAGGTGCTTTGACCTTAGAGCCCAACCTCTCCACTTACCAGGGGTTTCAGTCGGAGTCAGACCGCCCCCTAGGGGGCATTTTGGCCATTTGCAAGAGAGCCTCAGGTATCTCAACAACTAAGAGGGCAAAACTCTGCCGGGCCTTTGGTGACAGCAACACACAGATTTCCAAAAGAATCATCCCACATCCTGCACAGCTTTAGAATGTACGACTGGAATCATGTATACCTGGACAACTGGAGAAGTCAGTCCTACTTTATAATACTACTAAAACATTTTTAGAAGCTTTTGAGTTTTTAAAAGTAGTTTGTGAGGTAGGTATTTTAGTATGTGCCTATAATCCCAGTG